ATGGCCTTCAGGCTGCAATCTGGGGTCACTTCTTAAAGGAATTCTTCAACAACACTGTGCTAATGCAGTGAAAGGCAGCTGAAGCTGGCTTTTAGCCTGTCTGCGGCTTTAAGGTTAAGGAAGTACGACGAAGAACAGCAGGCATCAAGGGACAAATTTACTACATCAATTTCAGCCGTCGGATCATTTTAAATGCCTTAGCAAATCACGACTTCTCTAGCACGTGCTAAAACCCTTAGCAAAATAAGGGCCTAGCATTGCTTAAATCAGCCTTGTTTACTTTATTATAGCCTTTTTAGTAAAGTCCAAGGTTGTAGCATTTAATATTAGCATTAAATCCCATTTCCATTAAAGAGCATCCATAAAATGAATGGCCGGAGCAACGGAGGAGTCAGGGAGCAGCGGGAGAATTCCTGGTGGGCTAGTAGCGTTTGGGCCTTGCATTTCAAATGCACTACTAAACTGTAAATCCCATATTTTTGTAGCAACTTAGGGAGGTAAACTGGCAGGCCCTTCTTCCAGTGGTACAGCCCCATTTGTCAGATCATGTTAATACCTTTCATAGAGTGGATTAGCCTGGTCAAAATCGGCCCAGCCCTGCGGTGCGACTCTGGGGCTGGTTGACACAACAGGTAGCATTCTACAGTGCACATTGGTTTGCATTGCTGAACAATGAATTGTGAGGATAAAAAAGCATCAAATGTGACACAAAAAGGCAAGAAAACAGAAAGGCAGTTGAGGAGAGAGCGGTGGAACGCTCTGATATTCTGAGCAGGGTGATGCGAAATATGTGACATATCGGTAATATCGATTAAATGCTGAGATGAAAAAGACCAGATTTTAGAAAAAAATTAATACCTACAGTTGCACATTAACATATATTTTCATCATGATAGGTTTGGGTGGTAAACCCTTTGTTAAGGGCTTAAATTGGCTGTAATGTAGTGCAGCGTTCACCGCTATTAAAAGAGACTCGGTTTCGCTCAAGTCTTGGTGCTTTATTCTCAGCTGTTGTTGGCCACAGCTACATCATACAAAAGCAGAGGTTTGTCTTTACTAACAGCAGAGAACTTGTAGAGAGGAGAATTATCACTCTGTAATGTCTTCTGGGTTTCTCAAACACTAGAGGGCGCTCCCGAGCGAGTCCAAAATGAATGGGTTAATGTGGAGCATTTGAGCAAAATCAAGTTTATAGTTTATAAATGCTTAAATATTTTTAATGTAAAAGAATACATTCATTTCCTGCACAGAGAACAGCATAAAACATTTTAACACTGTTGTTGTATTTTTAAGAGCTTTTAAACTCAAGTTATAGGAGTTTAAAATGACGCCTCATGTACTTCCATGGCGTCAGTGAGCGCAAACAACCAGTGAGCTGCTCCACTCGCCAATCAATCAGCACTCAGTATCAGTAATGCCAGCGTTCTGCTGCACAAAACCTGTTTGCTGTAGAAAAAAGGAAACATACAGGTCAGTTTTCTTAGCTTTTTTAGTGAAACACATCCTTCTACTTTCTAAAATGAAAGGAAAGATCTGGATGAGTGATTAGAAACTATTTAAACTTAATTTTTAGCAGTTGAGCTCCATCCACTCCCATTCATTGAGGACTCACTCGTGGGTGCCCTCTGGAGTTTTGCCATCCTGTTTTTGATATAATGAGGGAAATAGAAAGAGGCCAGGATCCTCATAAACCCGCTTAGCTAACAGCTCATTCGCTACCCAGTTCACGTCCCACTCTCTCAGCTCTCTGCTCACACACACATCCTCATGGGCAGGTTCTAGCCCTGCCCTCCACAATAAGAATCCTCAGCAACATAACCCAGAAAACAAATGCTGGAAAAAAATAACCTAAAATGAACACGCAACAGTAGCATTAGAAAACCAGCAAGCTCTTCCCTGTGGTGGGCTTGAACCCCGCTTGGAAAGCAAGCAACTTAATTTGGCTTGTGCGCAGCTAAAAAAGATGGTTCTTCAAGGGTTCTTCAGTAAAGGCAGTGGTTCTATTGAGAACCGTGAGTTCTAAATAGAAACATTTCATGATGAAATGGCTCTTCAAATTGTATTTTATTTCAAAATGGTTCTACATAGCAACAAAAGGGTTCTGCTATTCTTACGATGTCACTTTGGGTGCTATATTGAACCAGATACAACACATTCTCCATTAATCTGAAGAACCATTTCACTATGCAAAGAACCATTTAAGCAAGAAATGATTCCATATAGAAATATGGAAACCATTTGGTTGTTTTTTCTGCTCGTCACAATTCCAATTATCCTTATTACAAATTTAGAGTCCATAGAACCTTACTTCACATTTAAGATATCTAGTTTTGGTGTTCTAATGTTCCTCCTTTTTGTCCGTCTCCTTTTCTCAGTGAGGTTCTTCTTGATCAGCTACACATCCTTTCAGACCCACAGCGCTGAGTCGTCTTCTCACAGTGGAAGGATGGACAGAAACACCTGTGGATGTTTTCAGATCTGAAGCAGCTTGATTTTCTCCTCTCTCTCAGAGATGAAAGCTTTAAGTGCTGTTTATCTGATGGGGGCAGTTTTGGGGTCTACCAGGTCATCCGGGTGGGTGTTAGGAGCCCCATTTTCTCGGTAGCTTTTTAACATTTTTTGAACTCCTATGCAAGTGGAGTATCTAAATGAATAACTTTTACATAATGGCTGTTTTGAGTGGAAATGAAATAAATGAAATGTGCACTTTGACTCCTAGTCTGAAAACCAGTCCCACTCCAGCCATGGATGGGTAAATTTATTATGTAAAGTATGATGCATGCATACGTACAAAATGCACACAGCAAAAGCTCCAGTGCTGGATCAACACTAGTGTTCATTTAGGTCCTGTTTGGTGTAGGTGTTGATTCAACACTGGGGATTTGTCTGTGCACACACAGCCTTGAGGGCTCATTTAGCTCTTTCCTTTAGCGCTATAGGTTTGTTTTAATGAGTATTCTCAGCACAACTGCCCCAAAGAAGCTCTGCAGAAACAGCAGAGCGAAGGACGTGACATACAGCACGTCACTAGCTGGTTTACAGCTAAATATATTGTTTAATCAAGTGTATTACAAGGTTCACTAGGAACCCTGGAGAACAAGGCTGTATGTGGATGATAACCTGCAATTATCAAATCAGATTTGCTTTCCGTTATTTGTCCTCAGAGGGAATGAAGATGTACAGATGGATGACAAAATTACCGTCAACAGTCTTTAAATGTCCCCAAGAGGTAGGTTTTTTTTTTTAAACCTGCCTATTTGCTTGACTTAGACACCTGGCATCTTTCCTTTTCGTGGTATAACTGCTGTCCCCTAGATTGTTGTTGGGGATGTGGTGTTGAAGCAGTGTATGCTGGGGGTTGTAGTGCAGCTCATTGTGAAACAGGCTAATATTAATAGAAAATTAAAATATTTTTGCGGGCTGGATAGGATTGTGCCACAGGCCTGACTGGGCCTGCAGGCCTTGTGTTTGACACATGGGCTCCAAGGGGACAAGTGGACCAACACCCTGTGGGCAAAATGTCCCCCACAGCGTAACAGAGTCACCCCTCACTGTAGGGAGTTGAGCATTCAGGCCTGTACCTTTCTCTTGGTGTATCCTCCAGGTGCACTCTCTGAGAATGTCAATGCAGGACACGATCGTAGCCCGTCAACAACTACATTGAGAGGGATATTATAGTAGGGTTGAAAGACATGAACCCCCTCGTTAGAAAGACCAATGACCAATTGGTCCAGTGGTGCTAAAACCATCAGCACTGGTCTACATAGATATGTAGATTCACCATACTATCCACAAGTGGGAGAGTGCACCTGGAGGGAAGCGTAACTGCAAATCAATACAAACTTATTCTGACTGGTCTTCCAGGTGGTTGTTAGGAGATTAACTTACAATGAAACATAGGATGGGACACCCTGACGAGGGGTCACTGAATGATCTATACTATGGCTTTTGGCACCAGATCTAAACCCAGCTGAACACCTACCGGAGATCTTTGTTCCACCATCGTAAACAAAACAGCAAGTGAGGGAAAAACTTGGGATTGAATGGGATTTCCATTCCACCCATTCAGTAGAGTTGAAGACTTTTCTGTCCTTACAAAGACACTGTTGTTTTCCCTTCAATTTATCTTTAAGGATGGTTGATGGGGGGGGGTGAAAAACTGACCCGGCCAAAAGACGAACGCTAAGCCAAGAGTGTTCAACATATAAAGCAAACAAATATTGATGGCAAACAGCCTAGCATGGGCCTGACTGCATCCTGTGCCTTCTCTCTACATCCTAATTTACTCCCGAGATCTCCTGTCAGCTCAGATCGTACAAAACAAGGTGAGATGGTTGATGTTAATCAGTAGGTCTGGCTGGGAGGGTTGCCCAAGACCCATCAGTAACGAAACAGCACAACTCAATCCGTAATTACACTCATTAGTCTCAGCCAACGTATTTCAGCATCAGTGTTGGGGATTACGTCCAAGCACGCACTCCATCTTGCCGCCAAGGATTTATGTTAAGATGACGCAAGCCTGTGCGCATATTCATTAAATTATCTTAAGCAAGACCCGCTGTAAAAAAAAGATTCTGCATAAGCAACTTTGTGTTTTGGGAACAGAGGTTCAGATTAAAATGAATAGAATGTTTAAATGAAGTTACAGTTTTCTTTTGGAAGTGGGGAATTTGATATAAGAGTTAAACAGCCATTGTTTGAGCTTTAACACAAATTGCTAATTGTTAAAGTGCAAACAGAAGATAATCAAATAATTAAAGATAAACGTATTATATTCCTCATATCAACTCAGAAAATATACAACTCAAAGGCTCATAATTGCTGTTTTCATGTTTAATAAGCTGCAATTTGAGCTTATTTCAAGTTGTCACCTTTTTTTTATTTTTTAAATGGACAAATTAATTATTTAAACCCAAAAAAACAAAATCAAAATGTACTCAAACTATTAAAAATCTCAAACCAAGAATTGCTTCTTTTAAATCTTGATCAGAACAAATGAACAAAAAGACAATGAAAAAAAAGACAAAGTCAACAAAAACCATGCCAAACGATTGTCACTAATTACCATAACTTTCATAAACTACTGATTCACTTTAACAAAATTCCAAAATTTATTACAAGCCAGACCTTAAGGTGACTACAAGGATAAGGACAACAAAAAAAAATGAATTATTCTTGTTTCGCTAGCAATGTTTCTACCATTTTAGGCAGAAAAGATTCAAGGAAGTGGAAGAAGTCTTGAAAATGTCCCTGAAGGTCATTGTTTGGGGTGAACTTGAGCACTGCCTTCGTGCTTTCTCCCCCACCCACAACCACCCCATCCACCCTGAACTCCAGCAGATCCTTGGGATCTGCCTCTTTCTCAATGATGCACTGTGTTACCCTGCTCTCGATGCTGCTGCAGCCACCTTCGGGTTTGGAAGCCTCATCGCTCTTTTTCAGCATATCTCTCCGGACCTTCCTGCGGCCGGCCCACACCTGGTGTCTCTGAGCCCAGCTCCAGCAAGCCTTCTCTGGGTGTTCTGCAGAAGGGTCCAGTCTTTGCCTCTTTCCCTGTGGGGAGGAAGAGGAGGATGGGCTTTCCTCGGGAGGCAAAGGCCGCTTTACCCCGGAGTGGATTGTCACTTGTTTTAGACTCTCATTATTGTTCACTTCCTCTTCATCTTCTCCAGTCTTTGCTTGAGCTCGGCTATTCGTAGGCTCCTCGCAAGGTGTACACTTCAGAATGTCTTTGAACACAGCCTCCACTGCGGTGCACAGTTTTGCAAACCAAAAGACCCGGAAAGCGTCTCCAGCTGAGCCCAGCTCTTTCCGCAGGGATTCAGGCAGAATGGAGGCCCGGAAGGGGATGCTGATCTCCAGAGACTTCTCCTTGCCATCCTGGGATCGAGGGCCGCCCTCAACACGAGGGGCGAACAACCGCACCAGGCCCCAGGACTTGCCCTTGGAAGACTTGTGCTGATACTGCAGGCTGCGGCAGTACTTCTCGGCTTCGCAGCACTCTCTGTGGAGGTTTCTGTGCGTCCGCTCACTCAGGTTCCCTGCCACGTTGTGGTGGAGCTCAAACGGGTCAAGGATGTTTACAGGGCCCAGTTTGGGACAAGCTGTATTTCTCTGTTTGGGGTCGGAACCCTCCGGATTGTCAGGCATCTCCTCGTCCCTGCTGAGAAAGTCTGTGATGGGCAGAGTGCGACCCTCTCTCAGAGACACCACTGACCCAGGGAAGTCGAACGTGGAGTAGAAAGTAAAGAAACCAAAAAGCAAAGTGCCTGAAAAAGGAGGATGAAAACACATAAATGAGAGAGAAGGAAAGCGAGAAAGTTATTTACAATGTACAGATTAAGCTTGGGGATCTACATTTAGTTGGCTGTTTATGAGGCACAACTATGTAGTATTCTATCAAGCCTCCTTTGGCCTTCAGGACAGCATGAATTTGACTAGGCATGGATTCTACAAGATGCTGAATATGTTGTGTACCACACTACACCACTGGCTTGTACTCCTGGCACTAAACAGGATGGCTCCATGGGCTGCATCCCAAAACTTTTCTAACTACTCTCATCCTCTTCCTACCTTGCGACTACACGTCTCCTACCCAGAAGAATGTGCAGGAATCAAGGCGTGAACAGGAACAAAGTAAATGAGCAATAATGGGGAAAACTGGAAAGCTGATCCACTTCAATGTGCTCAAATTTGGAGGCAGAGAGGAGCTGAAGTGAAGGAAAAAACAGTGACTCTTAGGATATTTAGATGCAGCAACGAATTCATGCATCATATACTGATCCGTCCATTAAAAAGACACAAAAGGAATCTGGACTCGTTCAACCAGACAACTTCCACTATTTCTACTCTGCAACACTGTGATTTGATGTAGTGAAGTGTAGTGGGTAATACTGCAGCCTTCCATGCAGCAAACTGCCATACTACACCAATAAGACTCCTTGAGAAAGACTCTTAATGCTGCATTTGACTAAATGATTAAACTGTAAGTTGCTCTGGATGAAAATGGCCGCTTTTCCACTATCGAGTCAAATGGTTCTCAGGGCCGTACTGGGCCGTGCTGTGCTGGTCCAGACTCGTGAGATTGGTTATGGTTTATATGTTCAATCATCGGTTTACTAGAGCCGAGCCCGTACTGCAGCAGGAGGCACTGTGCGCTCGCGTTAGCTTAGCCTAGCAGGCTACAGCTTAAAGTACTACAGAACAGGTTCAATTTCGGCTTTCTGTCACTCCAACACCAATCAGTCAACTTTCCTCCCGCTGTTCTAAGTTTATTGTCTATTCTTGTGATATCAGAGCACCAGTTACTCGAATCAAACCGGTACTGCGGTGTTTGGATCTCTTTAGCTAAGCTAGGTAGGAGAGAAGAGCCGGCTAGCATTAGCTTAGGTAGCTATGACACTACAGCTCCAGACACCAGAGAACAGGTTTAATCTCGGCTCTCTGTCCCTGTAATCGCTCGATTTCGCTTCCTCAGAGCTGAGTCATTATCATCTAAACTCGTGTCAGTAAAGCTTTTGTTTGTCAGAATCAAACCTGTTCTGTAGTGGGCAGAGCTGGCAGCGTGCTAGCTAAGCTAACACTAACCAATTACTCTCTCCTTGTGATCAGTGCCGTTTAATACTTAGAAATTGGTGTTAGATTGAAGCTTTGACGTTCATTGAATGGTGGGTTTAAAACTGTGCACTGCTTTCATTTATTTGGCGGCTGTGTGAGTGAAATGAACTTATTTGATTGTTTCCAAGTTTGAAATAACGCAGCAGGACTCAGCGGCACAATAACAACATAAACACAGAACCGATCAGCGAACAGCTACGTCTTTACATCGTTCCACTGAACGTTTTTGTGTCTGTGAGTACGGTTTGCTAACAGTGCCGAAAAAAACAGGCTGAGCCCGGTTTTTAAGCATTCCGTTTCAAACCGTGTCTGTGTGGAAACGCTACTGGAATGGTTACCCTCCGTGCTCAGAACCGTTCAGCCCTGCAGTGGAAAAGAGGCCAGTGTCTGCAAAGAACATAAATTGAATGTAAGGCTGCTGTGCCCACCATAGTTAAACTCAAAAGCAGTTTGTGTGGTTGTAGCTCATCTGTTCGTTAGCAGACCCAACAACTGTTTCATCCACAGCATCACTGGTAACGTTTTTGACTATCTTTGGTAAACCTCTGAAACTGTTCCACAAAAAGGGAAGAAGACAACAGCTGTTTAGGACAGCCAGTCTAGAACCAGTATGAGAGCTAGAAGCAGTGCCTGTCGCCAACAATCATATCATGTCTGACGTCACAAAGGCCCTTCATTTTGCCCTCCCCAACACTCAGGTGAACACGAACTGATACAAGGAATGCTGGCCAGATTTATACCACACAATGACTTATGTAGTTAAAAGCGGGGGTATTTAATAAACCTGCAACTCGGTGAACTTTCCTGAAGAGTTATTATGAAGCTTAATCTGCCATGCATGATCCAACCAATCAATATCTTCCGAAGATACTGATCAGCCAGACTGAGGCACTAACAAGGCTATGTATAGATGACCGTGGTGTTGAATATGATTTCATCAAGAGTAATTTGGAACCTTGGAGAACAAGGTTATATAAGGATAATGAACTGCAATGCTCAAATAAAATTTTCTGTTTTTGTTATAATAACTGAAGATGTGCACTGATGATGTAAGATCAGGGTTGGATCTGAACTTTGTAAGAAGGGAGATCTCCATTAGGAGCGTTTGTGATACTGCTTTAGTCCATACTTACAGAGATCATCTGTGTTTTTACTTGGTGGGACAGTGAAGGGCTGACTAGGAAAGGTGCAGTCCCAACCGTCGATCACACACTGCTCCTCCTCACCTACAAAAACGGAAAGAGAAAAGAAAACACAGAAACGCTATTTATTCTTATATCAACTGTGGTACTTCTGTTTAATGACAAATCGAAAGGGAATGTCAGCACCTTGTCATTCCTAAACCAGAGTGTATCTAAATTTATACAACAGTTAATTCCGGCCACACAAGCTGATTGGTTGAGAAGCGCTCCGTGCTGTAATTTCACCATGACAGCACTGTATCACTCCGCTGAGACACCGTTGCTAAGCAACGACTTTGACAGCTGTAGGAGACGCTGAAGCCATTTGAACGTTTTTACTTCTTACTTTGCCACAAACAGAAAATGGACACTTTTTAGATCACATTTGACCGACAGCCGATTTGGTCAGACTCTGAAGATGAGACGACACTAAATTCCCAAACTGTCATCGCCACTGAGCAGCTTTTAAGTCGGCAGCTGAGACAGAAGAACAGCTAAACAACCTGGAATCAGCCAGAAATGAACCCGATACCATTCGCCAAACTAAATGGGCTGTAAGATGCTTTACAGACTGGCTGGAACAAAACAACATTAATACTGATCTGGCAAAAACTGACAAAACTGAGCTGAACTTGATATTGCAGCGGTTTTATGGCTCACTCCGTACTTCAAAAGGCGAGGCTTACAGCAGACTGTGCAGCGAGTGGGCGGAGCTCGTTACTCTGACGTAGCAACAAGCTGCTTGTTAAGGAACTATAATTTGGTGAAGGAACTGCGAACATTAAAACATATTAAATGCCGCGTTCACGGCCCAGTTTATTAATTTATTACTTTATTAAATCAACTGTTGTATAAAAGCAGTAGAACACTCGAGGAGTGTGTTATCGCCAATAACATCACGGCTGTGGTTATCTATGGCGACCAAATCACAGCCGTGATGTCATTTCACGATAACGCACTCCCTCTCGTGTTCTATTGCTTAAATAAAACACCCGTCAATTTCCTACAGCACAGGAGAATGTACACTTATTCAGAGATGATCAGAGAGATAAATGAGGTCCTCTGAGTCTGACTGCAGACTCCTTACTTCCTTTCTCAAGTGCAGTGGGTGGGAGGCTAGGTCTGATGAGAATGCTGATTCTTGTTATGGTGGGTGAGAAAATAGTAATAATAATAATAATAATAATAGTAATAATAATAATAATAATAATATTTCTAGGATGTGTAAATCTGTATTTTGGAATGATCATGTAAAAAGAAAGCTCCGTCATGAGCATTTACCCCAGGACACATACATGCCATGTTCTTGAGCTGCTCCACAGAGGGCAGCACAGGTGGGTTTACATTCTGCAGGTAGAAAATGACCATCAGCGTCAGTGCATAGTTATTCAACAACGGCCCACCGCCGAATGGATTTCCTAAGAGAGAAAAGACAACCGTTAAAGGCCAAGGACTGCCGTCGCACCACAAGAAAGCATGCAGATTAACAAGCTGACGCCAAATCAAGGTAAAGTGATGTGATTGTGAGGTTATGCTAAAAGCAAAGATGTGCTGTCACCTTCTGGTCACAGTGGGTAAATTAATTGGAAAAAAGTACATCAAAAATGTTCTCTAAATACAGATGGGTGCATTAAAAATGAACTACAGAATAAAAAACGTCCTGATCCACAGGTGCAGTACCTGCTAGCTGTTTCTGTTTGGCCCAGAATCGCACTGTGTAGACCAGCGGTTGAACTCTACAGTCCAGCCCAGAACAGAGTTGAAGGAACCGGGTGTTTCTGACCGCCAGTCTGACAGGGAAAGAGTGAGAAATGGAGAAAAAGGTGGAAAACTGTGACTAAAATCACCGGTTTTTAGAGAAACAAACCAGATGTGCCTCGAAAGCATGTAAAACTAAAATTTAACATTTACAATGAAATTTCATCGATTTTACAAAAATAACTGCACAATCATTAAGATGTAAACAGAGTAATTAACAGAGGTTTGATGTGAAATGAGCCGTTTGACTGTTCACAGTTGTTCACAGTGGTAATGATAGGAACCAAATATCTGAAGAGCATAATGCCTACAAAAGCCACCTCACAAATATATATCTTAAATGCTGAGAAGAGGCTGCAAAAAAAATTGTAGCCTCTAATTAATCGGAACATTTTTTACTCTGACCTGTGAGCATCCTGACCAAGCACTATGCCATATGAGTGTTTATGTGGACATTCTGATGAAGGTATTCAAAAAATCAGTATTCGTGTAGTTCTACAAAAGTACATTATTTTAGGCAATGCAGGCTGATCTTTAACCACTGCACAGATTTTTAATAATGAATATATTGTATAATATAATAGCAATCACATAACAATATCACCAGGGTTGCTGTGTGTAAAAACATTTTATGTTGTAACTTTTCCCCCCAATCCACAAAACCCATGTAACCAGGGGTGCCCAAACTTTTGCACATGACTATATACATATACCGATCAGACATAACATTATGACCACCTCCTTGTTTCTACGCTCATTGTCCATTTTATCAGCTCCACTTACTATATAGGTGCACTTTGTAGTTCTACAGTTACAGACTGTAGTCCATCTGTTTCTCTGATACTTTGTTAGCCCTCTTTTACCCTGTTCTTCAGTGGTCAGGACCCCCATGGACCCTCACAGAGCAGGTACTATTTGGGTGGTGGATCATTCTCAGCACTGCAGTAACACTGATGTGGTGGTGGTGTGTTAGTGTGTGTTGTGCTGGTCTGAGTGGATCAGACACAGCAGTGCTGCTGGAGTTTTTAAACACTCTGTCCACTCACTGTCCACTCCATTAGACACTCCTACCTTGTCAGTCCACCTTGTAGATGTAAAGTCAGAGACGATAGCTCATCTGCTGCTGCACAGTTTGTGTTGGTCATCCTCCAGTCCTTCATCAGTGGTCACAGGACGCTGCCCACAGGACACTGTTGGCTGGATATTTGTGGTTGGTGGACTATTCTCAGTCCAGCAGTGACACGGAGGTGTTTAAAAACTCCAGCAGCACTGCTGTGTCTGATCCACTCAGACCAGCGTAACACACACTAACACACCACCACCACATCAGTGTTACTGCAGTGCTGAGAATGATCCACCACCCAAATAGTACCTGCTCTGTGAGGGTCCATGGGGGTCCTGACCACTGAAGAACAGGGTAAAAGGGGGCTAACAAAGTATGCAGAGAAACAGATGGACTACAGTCTGTAACTGTAGAACTACAAAGTGCACCTATATAGTAAGTGGAGCTGATAAAATGGACAATGAGTGTAGAAACAAGGAGGTGGTCATAATGTTATGGCTGATCGGTGTATATATATATAGAGCAGGCCTAGTGGACAGCTTTAAGCACAAATAAATGCAGTGAAAGTCCGTATCAGGTGTTTTGTTGTTACCTGTTGTTGATGGTGATGTCCCCCTCTAGGTTCAGCTCACGGTAGCTGAATTTAACCACAGGAAGTCGGGCAGTGCTCAGCGACTGGACCTTGTGCACCCCGGGTACGCACTTCTGCAGAATGGCTGCCACCAGGTCTAGAATCTCAGCTGGAGTGGCCGTGGCGAGGTCAATGTCTGAGAGGATGGAGTCTTCAGAGTGATTGTCCTCCGACTGATTTTCTTCTGTCTGTCAGAAAATGAGAACAAAGCGTTTCAGACTTCAACATCTTTGACCTTCATAATGAACCTCTCTGACCTCACATAAGTGATATAGAATGATTCGTGGTCATAAAAAAATACAGTTATGATAAACGGGAATTGTACCGATTTTTGTAAATTTCTGCAGAATTAAAGTGTTGAGATGTAAACAGAGTCATTCAGAGTGGTTTGGTGTGAAACACTCCATTCTAGAGAAACAAAGTCAGAATTGTTCACAGTGGTGGTGATAGGAACCAGACGTCTGAAGAGCTTAATGCCTCTAAAAGCTCCCTCACAGAAAGTTACACAGAACGCAGTTTTTCGGATAAACTTTTGACATTAACATCTGGCCTAAAACACATTTTTAAAATACATTCAGTGCAGAGGGGTACATTGAGTTGTGAGGCAAAATAGTCCCCAAAGAAAACAACTTTTCAGTTTTACCACTATTTTACCATCATTAACGTTACATGTAAAAACTTAGAAGATATGATTTTTCAAAATTGCTGCATAATTCAGACATTCAGAGTGGTTTGATGTGAAATTATTCATTGTAGATTTCTTCACAGTGGTGGTGAACAGAATCAGGAGGTTGCGATATCTACAACACAAATATGACCATATTATTTACTATCCAAAACCAACAGTGAACCTATGTGTCTAAATTTTATGTGCAATGTTGATGATGGCAAAGTAGTGGTAAATCTGAAAAAAAATACAAAAAGTTTTCTTTGGGGACTATTTTGCCTTAGAATGCCCTGCATGTTTCCTTCCACCAAGGTAAGTTTTAGGTCAAAATCTTCTCAAAACTATAAAACAGTGTCTCAGACATCAGACAGTGAATTCATAACCATTTCATGTAGTAACATTCTGTGAGGGAGCTTTTAGAGGTGGCCGTCTGGTTCCTATCACCACCACTGTGAACTATTCTGACTCAGTAAGTTTTTCTAGAACAGAGCATTTCACACCAAACCACTCTGAACGACTCCATTTAGTTGCACAGCTGCAATTAAACTGTGCAGAAACTTTGAAAAATGGGTGTAATTTTATTTTGAGAAGAATGCAATAAAATGAAATGACATCTTAGAGCAGTCAAAAGTTGAATGACAGCAAAATGATTGTTAAAAATGTATTATTAATTTAATTTTGGTTAAAAATGGGCAATACAGGGTGTCCCAAAAAATTGACATTATTTCATAGTCTAATAGCAGCCAATTCTCCCTAAAATTATGTCACATTTTAACAAAATGTGTAAAAACTAACCAAGTTTAATTCTTAATGTTTTTTTTTTTCAGGTTGAAGAACGGCGTTCGCTAGAAATGAAAAGGCATTTTAGTGTGTTAGAATATGCTCGAACACAGTCAGACGAGAGTGTGCAGTGTGCATTTTCGAGAAAATTCAATAAAAATGCACCAACTGGAAAGCACATTTGGACACGGCACAAAAAATTCAAAGAGGAAGGCTGTCTGTGAAGGACAAAGGGGTCTGGCCGACCACCAGTATCAGAAGATATTACATTTGTGAAGCTGTGAAATCGGTTATAAAATCTACATTTCTCTGAATTTTTGAATTTCAGTTTGAATTTTGATAAATAAATCTTGTATTGATCAACATGAAGCCTGTTTAATTTCATTTGCCAGGACATGTAGTTACTCAGATATTCACATCTCAAATGATGTCAGTTTTTTTGGGACACCTTGTACATTTAAAACACATAGAAAAGTCACAGACCTGCTCAGATTTCTTTCCCCGAGACTGGAAGGCTTTGGTGTGCTCCAGGTCCAACACCAGATCCAGGTCACATGACTGGACACCAAATGTGTTCACGGAGGAGCCGAAAGGTACAATCTGGCAGTCTGTGTCAAACAAACAAGCAAACAGATGGCTACCTTAGCTGGCTGTTCTCATACAGAACGACCACCACTAGTGAAGTGACCCTCTAACATCAGACACCCAGCTATTCATAGTTTTAGAATACAACAAATCTGCAAGACCTGCCAATATACTACCATCTAAAGGGTCACTCCACAAGTTCTTTGCCATTATGTTATGATTAGTAACATTTCCGTCACAGCAAGCGTGTCCAAACATTTCTTAAATTGTTCGTTTACAGAGTACACAGCCTACTGAAGTAAAACTGGTACTCCATAAGGTTGCTAATATACACCAACTGGCCACTTCATTAAAACCACCTCGTCGTTTCTACACTCACTGTCCATTTTATCAGCTCCACTTACCATATAGGAGCACTTATGCCTGAGTCGCACATATAGGAGACTATAGTCCATCTGTGTCTTTGTATGTTTCACTGCATGTCTGATCCACTCTCACCAGCACAACACACACCAACACGCCACCACCATGTCAGTGTCACTGCAGTGCTGAGAATGATCCACCACCCAAATAGTACCTGCTCTGCGAGGGTCCATGGGGGTCCTGATTATCGAAAAACAGGGTAACAAAGTATGCAGAGAAACAGATGGACTACAGTCTGTAACTGTAGAACTACAAAGTGCACCTATTCAGTAAGTGGAGCTGATAAAATGGACAATGAGCGTAGAAACAAGGAGGTGGTTTTAACGAAGTGGCTGTTCATTGTAAAAGTTTGGAATCACCATTTTTAATAATATAAAACCATTTTTTGTTTTTTTTTATGATGAACGGAGCTGTAGGCAGTTCCATAATAATTGAGAAAGCTGTACATCAAGAATACACTTCTAATAATGTTAGTGTTAAGAAGGCCATTCAAAAAGTGACCTCACTGATGACATAGCTATTCGTATTAATTTTGTGACCAAAAAAAAACATATACCATTTATTATTTAATCACATTTGCCTTTTTTTCTCTCTATGTCATGAATTCTCATTGTTTCCAATACACCGTATAGGTTATTAATGAATAATACTTAGTAATGACAGGTGATCCCAAACTTCTGAACAGCGCTGTAGTCTCAGCCTGAGATGCTCCGCCCACAGCGGAATGGACTGTGAAATCTAGTTATATGTAAAAGTTTTTTTTTGTTGTTTTTTTTTTAAATACATGAACACATCCCTTTCTATTTTTAATTTGATTTTTTAACTATCCTAATTTAATTGCTAATTTGATTTTTAATTTAATGACTTTCTTTTCTAAATCTACTGTTTTAATCACGTTTTTAATTCACAGCTCAACTCTTTTTTTCTCATTTATAAAGCACTTTAAATGACATCAGTGTATGAAAGGTGCTCTATAAATAAACTTGCCATGCCTCTACAAAGAACGCACTCCTGCACAATTACTGCTTATTGGCTAAATATAACATAATGGAAAAATCAAACATAAAATGTGGCCTGTAAAAAAAGGTAAGGCGCATTTTATATTTTATTTCCAATATGTTAAACCCAGCAAATAAGTAAAAATTGTTCACTAAACAGGCAGAAAAGTGTCATATTTATGTTTGCTCACTATAGAGAACGTGACTTATCTTAACAGAGAAAATCTATTTGGTTCGGAATATTAAAACTTCTGCATACGACTGCACTGCATTCTAAACTGGCCATAACTACTGGGACTTTGTCAGCTGCATTCTGATTGGCTGTCTGCACATCAGTGCGTACGCACAGCAGCTGCGTTCCAAAGCCTAGGCTGCAGCCGAGGTAGGCTGCATTTTTCGGCCTCTACGTCATAGAAGGCTGTTCCAAACCGAAGGACCCGTCGTATACCACGTAGAAATGCAGCCTACGTTCTGAGTGATTTCAAGGACACATCAGATGTTTCCCTCCAGGCCTTCGGTTACCCACAGTTCTCTGCACACGAACAAAGTAAAGGAAAAAAACAACACCCCGAAAATGGCAGAAAACAAAGCCGCTGGAGAAGAGCTTGTTTTAATGTGTCAGTTGTTCACATCCTTGAATTTGGGTTTGTTACCTTATGAAGTGTAAAATGACCGATTAATTAAAGCATTCACCCATATATTGTATTGTATTTAGAAGTATTTGTGTACATGTAGTTTATCGTACTACATAAGAACATCTCCATTTCTGTGAAGAAATGAAAAAGCAACAAACACGATCGGGCTCCATTTTTCTCTCACCAGCTCCCTCAAGAGTTTCGCGCCACTCACACAGCCTCGTTAGGACTGATCCATTTGTGTGACCAATAAGCTACTAAGGAGGAGTCTTCATAGGACAGTCCTACCGAGGACCCACACTACCTCGGCTGCAGCCTGGGCTTTGGAACGCAGCTAACATCATGTTTAAAAGTTATTCAAGAGTTTTCATTGCAGCATTTACAAGCTGATATACAAGATTTCCGTCAGTTTGCTGACACAAACCACTACTTTTCCTTCTGTTTTTTCCTGTAACCTCACTATAAAAAAATCATTCTGCATGTTGGACGGCCCTTTCTTGTCGAAGTGAGCGATTTTTCACTACATTAAGCAACAAATTGCACCAGTATCTTTGATATCAGGCAGAAGTTTGGCTTACAAGACTGCTGCTAATATAAAACACCATCAACCTGAAGTAAAATACAGTTTAGACAGTTTCCAATCATGCAATGATTTCTTGTCGTGAGCCAGAAACACAAAAAGTCCCTGGGTTTTGGTGGAGTGGCATGTTCCACTGATTCATTCGGTACGAGTAGTGACCGTGACCGACAGTAGTGACCGTGATCATTTTGGAGTGAGGGGACACGCTGACCTGGCAGGAACTCGGTGAAGACTTCCTGCAGCAGCTGGACGAGGAGCTCTCTGGCTGTCCGGTCATTTTCACTCAGCTGGAAACTCTCCACCACTTTCTGCATCTGCTCATTTACCTGTCACCAACACACACACAAAACCCTTTATGATGACTTTATCAATGCACTGACCGGTCAGGCGCTAAAGATGAAGCCACATTTGGCAGTACCTGAATATGAATTTTTTAATTCTGCCCCTGTCAACTGTAAGTGCTATTATTGTGAAATGGAAACACCTAGGAGTAACAACAGCTCAGCCATGAAGCAGTAGACCACACAACTCTGTGGAGTGACGAATCAGGCTTCTCTATCTGTCAGTCTGATGGACGAGTCTGGGTTTGGAGAACGTTACCTGCCTGACAGCATTGTTCCAGCTGTAAAGTTTGGTGGAGGAGGGATGATGCTATGGGGTTGTTTTTCAGGGGTTGGTCTAGAACCCTTAGTTCCAGTGAAGGGAAATCTTAATGCTTCAGCACCAAGACATTTTGGACAATTGTGCACTTCCAACTTTGTGGGAACAGTTTGGGGAAGAACCTTTTCTGTTCCAGCATGACTGAGCCCCAGTGCACAAAGCAGCTCCATCCTGACTGGGTGAGTTTGGTGTGGAAGAACTTGACTGGCCTGCAGAGTCCTGACCTCAACCCCACTGATCACCTTTGGGATGAACTAGAATGGAGATTGTGAGCCAGGCCCTCTCGTCCAACATCAGTGTCTGACCTCACAAATGCTCTTCTGGATGAACGGGCAAAAAATCCCACAGTCACTCTCCAACATCTTGTAGAAGCTTCCCAGAAGAGTGGAAGCTGTTCTAGCTGTAAAGGGGGGCCAACTCCATATTAATGCCTCTGGATTTAGAATGGGATTCATAAAAGCTCCTGTAGGTGTAATGTGCAAGTGTCCCAATACTTTTGTCCATATAGTGTATATTCAGCTCAGAACAGACAGCATTTTTTCATCCTTTAAGCCAAAGACAAGGAGCCAAATTCAGGTTAGGTATCTATACAGGCAGGCAGCTACCTTGCTAACTCTTTCTAATCTTTCAGCTTGTTGTCTTCCTCATCTGAGGAGCATTATCTGTCGATGAGTAATCCAGCCTTTCCACTGTAATGAAGATTTGAAGACTGTTACTATAAATATACAGCTGCAATAACATAACTGGCTTCTTAGCCGTAATGTTAGCTATCTATCTTCGTTCTACGTTACCCTGCTTGCCAAAAAAAAACAAAAAAAAACAAACAGCCCATCCTCATACACATCCAATTAGAAGTGGGCAATACATCACTTCTTTAAAGTGGAAAAATCTCGTCCTAGAGACTGCAGTGGCACTAGGAGGTGAGCAGGCATGGTTATAACTGATGTAGTGATGATGACATTTTTCATTTTGGCCAGAGAAGTGATATAATTTGACTCAGTATTAAGAAATAAAAATCACTTCAGTAACCCGACAATGCTTTTAAATCTGAGTGTATGCACATGCGCTTACAGAGGCAGCCTGGCACAGCTCGTAGTTGAGCCTCTCCAGACTGATCTGGGGTTTCTTGGGGTCATGCTTTCCTTTGGTGGCCAGCTTGAACTCTTTCCTCTCCCTGGGCTTCACACGGAGCTTCAGTCCATCCATCCTGTGCTCCAGCTGAGCCAGCGCAGTCTGTGTGCTCTCCACCTCATTAAACTCGACTATGGCGTACACACCCTGCAGAGGAGCACAAACACACACTAGAGTTATTTACGGGGTTCCTCGGGGGTATGCACTGGGGCCTATGCTATTTACACATTACTTCATGCTAACAGACCCAGCACCTCTAAGCCTGAAGCGAGGGGCTTTCTGTCGAAACCTGCACTGACCTTCTCCTTGTCCATGATGACTTCAGACACTGGTCCGAATTGCTGAAAATACTCGGCTAGCTCCGTCCTGGACGTGGCTGGTTTAAAGCCACTGACGAAGACGCTGTTCTCCTCCTGTGCCTTCCTCTTGGACCTCAGTCTGCAAAGGTGCTGGTGCTTCTTCCCTTTTACATGGTCGTCAAGACTCCACTCTGGGTAAGAAAGCAGCCTGGCTGATTAGCTGAGTTAAAGCAGTTTTACACAGAAACTCTCTACATAGACAGAAACACCGTGCAAAGCAAAACAGACAGATCAGAGTCGTATGTAACATCTCAGTGGAAGTAGAAAGTACTAAATTACAACCATGTTACAATAATTATGTTTTCTGAGTAGAAATAGTACAGTATTTTTAATTCACTTCATTTTTACGTTCTAAAAGCCAATGCCAAGCTCCAGAAACCAGAGACAGGGAGGGATGGTGAGTACTTGGTCCACTGGACATGCACTAGAAAAAAACTTTGTTAGCTGCTCAATTTGCCTCCCGAATCCTCTACTTCCAACCTGAAGAAACAAGCAATTAACTGGCTGGCTAACTAATCTTAGCGACCAGATACTGTATCCATAATATTTTCTTATTTTGTTGCTTTACAATACAGGGATTTAATTTAAAGCGACTGCTAAATGCTTTATTGCATGCTGGACAAGCTGTTAAATTAAAATTCTTATCTAGAACATGTTTCAGGCCGTTTACCTCATATGCACACAGGATCTCACAAATGTAGAGTCCACACTCTGCAGTCAGCGTCATGCACACATTAGAAAACCCAGGACTAAGCTGGTCTCTACAGCTGTAATATGAACATTGCTGCATGTGAGCCAACACTGCAAACTGAACTGATATCATAAGACTGACCTCGACAAAAAAAACCCAAACAAACCAGCAAGCTTTGTCAAATGTGGTAGTTAAGTTGTTCTGGCAGAGCAGCTGTTTGCATACAGTAGGTTAATAGTAGAGTTACAGCCATGCGATATCATTTCATTGCAAAGGTTTGGTAAACATGGACGAAGCAACATTCATATTTCCGCTTCTTAACGACTTCGCAATCCAGAGGATCCAGTGACATGCAGTGGAACAAAGTATGTGGATAAAACATGTTGAGTTTGGATCATTTCTGTCTATCACAGGGTGTGATAGTTTATTTTTTGTCACAGAGAAATACAGCTTAGACCTTCATAGAGTTCATTGTATGGGCATGTCGTCAACTACAGACACGAGATCCTGTGGGGTTTCCTCTCTTTCAGTGACGTATATTAAAGTCACTTGGGTGCTCACAGCTCTGCATCAGCTTTGTAGAGAATCTTCAGTCTGCAATGAAAGACTGATGATAACAGTACCTTAATTATAAGGGCTGATTTATTTTTCTAATCAGGGACGGCCAAACCAAGTCTGAAATATTTCCAGTTTATGAGTACAAACATTCAAAAAAGAAACTCGAAATAATTACCCAAGTAGCTAAGAAACAACATAGTGACTCTTGAGTAATTTTCTTTATTAACATTTTTACTTGTACTTCAGCAATCAGTACAGTAACAACACTCACTTAAAGGGAAACTCCACCGATTTTTCAGATCAGTCAGAATTGTTCACAGTGGTGGTGATAGGAACCAGACGTCCTCCTCTAAAAGCTCCCACACAGAAAGTTACTACATGAAATGGCTATGAATTCACTGCCTGATGTCTGAGACACTGAATTTTGGTTTAAAACAAAATTTAATAAAATGTTATTTTACAGATACAAGCAGGACAACAAAATAGTCCCTAAGAAAACTTTTTTTTTTTAATTAACCACTATTTTACCAACATTAACATTCCATATAAACACTCAGACGACCCGTGTAGGTTCACTGGTGGTTCTAGACAGTAAATAAAATGTCTATATTTGTGTTGTAGACATGGTGACCCCTGGTTCCATTCACCACCACTGTAAACTCACCACTGAGTCTCTACAATCAACCATTTCACACCAAGCCACTCTGAATGACTCTGTTTACATCTGAATGGCTGAATTCCATATAAAAATCGGTAAAATATTCCTTTAAGGAGGACTTTTCAGGACTCTTTCCAAGCAAAACAGGGTAAAAATGTAAAATTTAAACTTCAAGAACCTTTAAAAAGTAAGCTAAGCTAATTAGCATGATTTATTTGTTCTGTAAGTTACAACAAAACTCTAACCCTCAGAAATATTTACTTGACTACGCGAATTAGACGTGAAATGAACTTATTTTCCGCGTTGCTATCTCATCCATTTCTGCCAGCGTTGTGCTCAAACGCACTGGCTAGGCTAGGCTAGGCTAGGCTAACTCAGCTGTGTCTCGCTGATCCTGACGTTTAACAGACTCACTGTTGGGTGTGTGGATTTCACACAGTTTGCAGTAGAAGCCCTTCGGTGTGGCTTTAATGTCTTCATCGGTCTCCATCCTCCGAGGCCGCTACCCGCGTGTAAAATGCTAGGATGCTAAGCTAACGATGTCCAGCAGCACACCAACTTAAATCTCCCTCCTCGGAGTCCCTCAGTGTTTACGGACACCAGAAACATCCATCCCTACACTTCAGTTCCCCTTTCCTTCAGAGACAAACGATCAAGGGGACTTTATAATTTTTTATAATTATATTAACTGAGTCATTCAGAGTGGTTTGGTGTGAAACGCTCCGTTCTGGAGAAACTCACAATCAGAATTGTTCACAGTGGTGGTGATAGGAACCAGACGTTCACCTCTAAAAGCTCCCTCACAGAAAGTTACTACATGAAATGGTTATAAATACGCGGCCCGACTCACTGATCTGCGATAGTTTGTGGCTTAAAATATATTTGAATACCCACGCACAGTGGAGACGTTCCCGAAGGCAAAATAGTGCCAGAGAAACCACATATTATTCAGATTTATGACTATTTTGCCATAAACTCTCATTGGTTCACTGGTGGTTTTGAACAGTAAATAAAATGGCTATATTTGTGTTGTAGACATGGTGACCCCTGGTTCCATTCACCACCACTGTAAAGAAATTTGAGCCTCTACATTGAACATTTCACACCAAACCACTCTGAATGACTTTATTTGTAAATAATTGTTTTTTCATTTTTTAAATTTGCAGAATCTGATACTTTTTGGATTCCTTTTGGTCTAAAATAAAGGTGTGAGCTACAGTAAAGCAATCCAGGAGCTGAACCAACACAACATAATATAATTAAACCTAAAAAACCAAATGTGAACATAATGTTTAATAATATAAAAGCATAAATTAATTATAATTCAAGTATGTGAAACTAATTAAGCTACCCTGCTAGATAAATTAACATAGTTTGTGTTTTAGATGCTGGTCAACCAGCAAGACCATGTTAGGTGACCAGCTATACCAGCACTAAAAACATGCCTGGATATCCATTATGTAATTTGGAGTTTTTAAACACCTCAGTGTCTCTGCTGGACTGAGAATAGTCCACCAACCAAAAACATCCAGCCAACAGCGTCCTGTGACCACTGATGAAGGACTAGAGGATGACCAACACAAACTGTGCAGCAGCAGATGAGCTATCGTCTCTGACTTTACAAGGTGGACTGACAAGGTAGGAGTGTCTAATAGAGTGGACAGTGAGTGGACAGTGTTTAAAAACTCCAGCAGCACTGCTGTGTCTGATCCACTCAGACCAGCACAACACACACTAACACACCACCACCACGTCAGTGTTACTGCAGTGCTGGGAATGATCCTCCACCCAAACAGCACCTGCTCTGTGAGGGTCCATGGGGGTCCTGACCACTGAAGAACAGGGTAAAAGGGGGCTAACAAAGTATGCAGAGAAACAGATGGACTACAGTCTGTAACTGTAGAACTACAAAGTGCACCTGTATAGTAAGTGGAGCTGATAAAATGGACAATGTGTCGAAACAAGGAGGTGGTCGTGCCTGACCTGTGTATGTAGGCTAAGAAACTCAGTGTCCCATAATACTTCAGTTGATGCTTTCTAATTAAGCAAAAGTTGACTAAAAACTGACTAAACGTGTCATTCAGACCGTACAGCCAGTGTCCTATATTACCCAACACACTTACCACTTTCACCTGAGCCCACCTAATGCATGTGGAACTAATACAACACACACACACACACACACACACACACACACACACACACACACACACATATATATATATATATATATATATATGTTGTATCAGGCACAGAATTATTCAGGACTGAGGATTGACCAGTAGCACGTCAACTATAGAATTAACACACAAAAAAAAAAATGAGGCAATATGATGGAGTTTATTGAGGTAAACAACTTGTTTCCAAAGCTGCAATTAAAATGTAGGGCACACTACAGTGAAACTACTCTAACATATCCGCTGTTGTTGGAAGAAAACCTTGTATCTCCATTTTTGGCGTTTATCAGTTTTTGACAATTTGGAAATACGTTACCCTTTACATTGTGTACAAATTTCATGACGAATGGACTAAAAGAAATGGACCAGAATTACTTTGAAAAACTGTGGTTCCATTGACTTACATTAAAAGCAAAATAGTTTATTTCCTTCTTCTGTAAAGTTACCATTTTGGAGATACAAGGTTTTCTTCCGACATCGATATGCAGTTGGTGACTGTAAGAACACTTGTTTACTAACCCTCAAATTGTGTTTTTATTTTTTTTTTTAACAAAACACCAGACGCTACTTAAAATTTAAGGGAAAGAGAATATGTGGAAAACCAAAAACAAAAAGAAAGAACCATTGACATTTTCAAGCAAGAATGGAAACTTGAGCGGGTCTGGGTGACCCAAAAGACACAAAAAGCAAAGCTTTTAATGCCCCGATCAGTTCAAGCTTAAAAAAATAAATCTTAATTTTTGAAAAATGCCATTAGAAAAATCAGTCTTTTTTTAAACAATAAAATAAACAGTTTAACAATAAAAACAGTTAAACCTGAAGAAAAACAGTAAAACGCTATCATAATTGTATAGTCCCGATATATAAAAACAGACTTTTAATTTGAATATTTACAACTAATCTTCAAGATCAGTGCTTCACTTCCTCCTTGTCCGCCTCACAGGAGCTGAAGGGGTGTCCGTTTCTGTTTTCTTCTGACCTCTAGTCCCTCGTCGAGTGGTGGGTTCTGTTAAAAGACACCAAAAAAATTTAATAATTATGTAGGACAGACATTTTCTGTTTAGTAAACATGATTCAAAACAAAGAAATACAGAAAGCGATCACTAAAACAGTACCGGACAAAATTGCAATATTTATGTCATATGCTGTTTCAGTAGTACGGTAAACCATTTCACTCACAATTTCAAATAAATAACCCTTAGAAATAACTTAATATTTTGTGTGGACTAAAACTAAGACGTCGGTATCCGTGTCCAATTTGGTATTAACAATAACTTAAAATGTCAGCTTTCAAAGCTTGAAACTTGGCCATTTATCCATCAACATAAATTCAAAGCAGACCAAAATACATAGCTTTAGCAAAAAGATTTTCCTTTTTAGTAGCATACCTGTAGGCTTGGCAGCATATTCTGGACTTTTTTCCAAATTAAAAACAAATTCAATTGTGTATCTGCAATAGCATTTTCATAGACATAATTCAAATTAAATGGAAAAAAATTGTGTATTTGCCTTTGTATTTCTGTGTTGGCTGGAAAAGGTTAACATGGAAAAGCAAAGACCTTCAGACATTTTATTTTGATTGTCCTAATGGCCTGACTCATAGCCACCCGTTTGCAATTGCAATTCCTTGTCATGTGTCAGCTCTGCCAAAATTAAAAAGTATTTGCAACCCTGTTTGTAAATGCATATTCAATGTCAGCAAGCACTTCCATCAAATGCAGTGGGCCGAACATCAGGACAGACTTTTTAGACCAGCTTGCGTCTGTGGAAGAGGAATACACATTACAGGTCCTCCGACAGTCCTGCGAGCCTCTTGCTGAAGCCAGTCACAAAGTCACTAATATTGGTGTGTGTGCAGCCACAAGCTTTCCTAGCTGAATCGAAAATCACTTCCACATGAAACAGTAAATCACTTTGGACAGAATTATTCTCGGCCTGACTGGCGAGTCTTAAAACGTCACTAGCAGCGGTTGCTAACGCAGAACTACAGCCAAAGTTTAGACCCATCACTTCCTGTTAATATGGTCCACACTTACAGTACTTCCCAATGTCCCACCCACAGCATTTGACTGACAGGAATACTTAACAGGGAAAACGCAATTGCAAACAGGTTTGGAAACACACTTTAAGGAAAATGCTATTGCAAAGAGGCGACTGAAAACTGAATAACAACATCAGACCATCATGACAATAAATATGCCATAAGGACTTTGCTTTTCCATATTAACTTTTGTCCCCTCCAACCATGATACACAGACACAAATGCAAGTAGTTTGAATTTTGTCCTTAATAATTCAGATGGGAACTGCAATTTCAAACACAATTAGCTTTTTCTTTGTAGAATATGCTGTCACATGTAGGGGAACGTAACTCAAGCACCTCTAGTTACAAATGAAACAATGGAATCAGAGCCGAATGCACTATTAAATTAACCACTGCAAATAAAACTAATTCACCTGAGACAGGATCCTCAGACTGTGCAGGCACAGAATCTTCCTGAGCTGCCTTTCTCTTGCCCCTTACAGGTTTGTTTTCGTTCTTTTTAGTAGCTGGTTCACTTTGCTCCAATTCCGCTTCAGGGGTTTCCTCTGCCGCCTCCTTGGCTGCTGCCCTCCTTCCTTTGCTAGGTGCAGCCTCTTCTGGTTGAGGTTCGGCGCTGACTGCTTTGCCTTTCCGTCTCTTTGGCAAGGACTCCACACTCTGCGTTTCATCAGCTTCAACTTCAATCTCCTTTCTTTTGCTACCCCTTTTTGGACAGGCTGCCACTTCATTCGGTTTGGAAACTAATGATGCACCTGCTCTTCCTCTCCTGACCACTGGGGCGTTTTCCTCAGCGGATTTCTCAGACTTCTCCACGAGTGGTTCATCTTGTTTTTTCGCCACTCTTCCTCTGCGGCCTTTGGCTGGTAGATCCACAGACTGCTTGGTCTCAGAGACTGAGGTGTCTTCAGTGTCCTTAGCTTCAGACTCGGCTTTCTTTTTGGACTTTTGCGGTTCAGATTCTTCCTCAGCAGCTGTCTCTGACTTCTCCAGTGGTTCATCTTGTTTCTTTGCCGTTCTTCCTCTGCGGCCTTTGGCTGGTGGATCCACAGACTGCTTGGTCTCAGAGACTGAGGTGTCTTCAGCGTCCTTGGCTTCAGGCTCAGCTTTCTTTTTGGACTTCTGCTGTTCAGATTCTTCCTCGGCAGCTGTACTAGACTTCTCCAGTGGTTCATCTTGTTTTTTTGCCAGCCCTCCCTCTGCGGCCTTTGGTTGGGAGTTCTGAGACTGAGGTATCTTCTGTAGAAGGCTTAGCTGCAGGTTCAGCTTTCTTTCTGGAAGTTCTTTCTTTCTTCTGTTGAGGTTCTTCATCAGCTGCAGGAGGCTCCATCTCTTCAATGTTCTTACAGGCCACTAGATCAGAATTCCAATTGACCGCTTTCTTGGAAGTATTCCTTTTGCTTTTGAAACCAGCTTCTTCAACTGTTGGATCTTCAGCTTTGTTGACAGAATTTGCTAAAGCCTTTGCTTTTTTAGCATATCTCCCTCTTCCTCTCTTAGCTGGTACCTCAGCAATGTCTTCAACATCATCACACACTGCCACATCAGAGCTTGCCTGGGAAACTGGAGTTTCAACAGGCTCGGACTCCAACAGTGTCGCAGCCTTGCTGGTGTGCTTGGCTGGTTCTGCTGCTGCAGTGGCATCCTCTGGAACTTCCTCTTGCTCTGTCTTTACAGCAGCTTTTCTGCCACGACTAGGCTTGGCAACAGGAGGAGGCACCTCAGCAACTGCAGCAGCACGGCGTCCTCTTTTGACAGGACCTTCAGGTTCACTCCTGACAACAGCTGTCCTTTTCCCTCGCACAGACTTAATGACTGGGGTCTCAGACTGTTCTCCAGTGGCAAGGTCAACTTCAGACTTATCCTCAACATTTTCCTGAGTATCTTCTGATACCTGAGCTGCTTTTGGCTGCTTTGTCCGTCTGCCTCCTCTGACATTTTTCACCATGGTGCCCACATGTCCCTCTGTCTCTGTGACTGCTGCACTGGTCTCTGCAGTGACAGGATGGTCATGAACATCCTCACTTACCTCAGGCAGTGCTGGCTTCTGTTCAGATTCAACCACCTCAGGCTCAACATCATCCTTGGGCTCATCAACCACTGGCAGGTCTTTCAAAGCACCTGGTTTTACCCTCCTTCCACGTCCTGGCTTCACTGGCATCACTACTGGCATTTGTGGGAGTTCATCAGCCACAACTGCAGCATCAGAACTTGTAATGTCTGACTCCACTTTAGTTGGAGTGGGTTCAGCTATTTCCTGAACTTCCATGGTTTTCAGACTGTCTTTCTTCATTGGTCTGCCCCGTCTTGTTCTTGTGTTAGTTTTAACAGGAGCGTCAGTCTCTACAGACGAATGAAGTTCAGTGCTCTCTGGTGCAACATCCTCCTTCTCAACTGTAGCTTCAGGCATATTTGACTCTTGTGGCTCTTGAGAAGCAGGGATGACAGGTGGATCCTCAGTTTCTTGTTTACCTTTTCTTCCCCTTTTTGCTTTTGCAGCAGGCACGTTTGTCTCCTGTGGCTCTTCAGGAGAAAGGGTCGACCGGTAGAACCTCAGTTTCTTGTTTACCTTTTCGTCCCCTTTTTGTTTTTGCAGCAGGTGCTGGTGACTTCAAGGAGGCCTCTACCTCTGCTGATGGTTCAGTAGCTTCTGAAACAGCAACAGAATGTACTTGCAAAACTGACTCAACGCCACCATCTTGTTGGGTTTTCTTTCCCCTCCTGGGTTTAACTGCTATAGATGGACATTCAGAAACTTGCTTGACATCTTCAGATGGTTTAAAAGCCTGTGCATGGTTTACTTCCATGTCCTCCACTTGGCACTTTGGAACTCTTCCTCTGGCAGACTTTCTAACAGGACTTGGCATAGGGACAGGCTCTTCAATGACAATCTTACCTCTTCTTCCTTTCACAGGGGCAGAGAGTGGAGGAACAGTTTCCACAGCAGTATTTTCCTCCAGGCTTTCTGACACAGCAGGAGAATCAGAATCAATCTTATGGGACTTTTGTACAGTTTTCACTCTACCACCACGAGGAGTCTTCTTAACAGGAGAGGATATTTTGGCTTTTTCTTCTTTCTTAGGAGTAGGTAAAGATGGCGTGGCATCTACAATTGGGCTGACAGCTTCAGACAAGGACTCTTGGACCGGTTGTTCCTGGATGTTTCTTTCCTCTTCATGATTCGTCATTTTAACAGAGCTAACTTCTTCCTCCAGTGGAATGGTTGGGACGGCAACAGCTGCTTCGGTTTCATGTTGCATGCTCTCAATGGGGCAGATGTTTTCTTTGTCTTCAGATTCCTCATTAACATCTTTAAAAGAAAACAGTCAAAAAGATTAAAAACTGTGTTCAAAAAATGATTGAATGAAAAACAATTTACAATTACAGAACACAGAACATCAAAGCACTTATCTGGCATTAACTCACCTTCAACAGCCAAAACATCAGAGGCCAAAGGTTCCTGTATCTGAAAACAAGGTGAGAAAATTAAGAAAGCAGTCAAGCAAACAAGGGATCCATTAAGAAATTACAGACACTAATCATATTCTGTACCTCAACTGATTCACTATCGTCGTTTTGTGGTGTCTCAGTAACATCAGGAATTGACTGGCTCACTGGTTCAATAACAAGCACTGCAAGGCCAGTAAAATCCTCCTCCACTTCGCCTCCTTTCTGCTTGGGGGTCTTCATCAATGTGCTGATTCCAAACTCATTTTCAACAGGCTCTCCTTTTTGCCTGGGGGTCTGAAGCAACCTCTTCATGCCTGTCAAATCCTCAATTGGCTCACTTTTCTGCTTGGGAGTCTTCATCATCTGCTGAATGCCAGTGAGATCTTCAACAGGTTTGCTCTTTACTTTAGGAGTTTTCATCATCTGCTGAATGCCTGTTAGATCTTCTACAGGTTTGCTTTTTTGTTTGGGAGTCTTCATCATCTGCTGAATGCCTGTCAGATCTTCTACAGGTTTGCTTTTTTGTTTGGGAGTCTTCATCATCTGCTGAATGCCTGTCAGGTCTTCCTCAACAGGTTTGCTCTTCTCTTTACGAGTTTTCATCTTCTTAATGCCTGTTAGATCTTCTTCCACAGGTTTGCCCTTCTGCTTAGGAGTCTTCATCTCCTCAATGCCTGTTAGATCTCTTCTACAGGTTTGCCCTTCTGCTTAGGAGTCTTCATCATCTCCTCAATGCCTGTTAGATCTTCTTCTACAGGTTTGCCCTTCTGCTTAGGAGTCTTCATCATCTGCTGAATGCCTGTTAGATCTTCTTCCATAGGTGTGCTCTTCAGCTTAGGGGTCTTCATCAATCTTTTCACTCCAAATGCATGCTCTACTGGCTCTCCCTTTAGTTTGGGGGTCTGCATTAACTGTTTCACTCCAGTAAGGTCTTCCTCTTGCTCAGTCTTGTCCTTGGGGGTCTTCATAAGCTTCTTTAAGCCTACAGCACACACCACTGGGCTGTTCTTTGCTTTAGGAGTCTTTATCAACCTCTTTAATCCAGCCATGTCATCTACAGGGGTTCCCTTTTGTTTTGGGGTGTTAAGGAGTTCTTTAACACCTTCAAAATTCTCCTCCTGAGTTGGTTTTGGCTCCTTGGGTGTCTTGAGTAACTTGCCTCTCAGGTCTTCTATAGGATCAGACCTCTGTTTAGGGGTCCTCATGAGTTTCTTGACTCCTGTAAGGCATTCCAGTGGTTCCGATTCCTGCTGTGGTGTTTGGACCATTATCTGAGGCTCTGCCTCCTTTTCCTCTATCTGGCCATCACTATGCATCTCTAGCTCTGAGATTATTTCTTTGGCAGGAAGATCATTTGAGTCAGCCATCTGAGGACCATCTTCATCAATTAAACTAACGTCCTGGTCGCCCTGGAGTAGACGAGTTACAGCTTCACTGTTGTAACGTCCAAGTTTGGCAGTGGAGGCAACACTCATGGGAGAGACCAGCATTTCACCTACAAAAGTAGAAACATAAATGAAGAGTAAATGAGTAACCACTTCAAAAAAGAACCACTTTTTAGCCCCACACAACAACACAACCACACAACTCAATGTGCACACAAAACATGGTTACTACCTTATTTAGCACAACACCACTTACCAGACTCCTCAGGAGTGTTCATCCCTGACATTTCAGGCAGAGAACTAGTAGAAACACCAAGTGGGGTTTCTGGATGATCAGGGTTGTCAATAACACTCTTCCGTTTGCTCTTAGCTGGGGTCTTGAACATGTCCGCAACACCTGCAAACACAAACCAATATTTTGAAGTGCTGGAAGGAAGAATTGCGTTACATTTTAACAATTAAAACTGCAAGATTCAGCACACCTGAAAGATCCTCATCCATTTTCATATTCTTCTTGAACAGCGCAACGTTGGGTACTATTTTAGGTGCTGCACCAACAGCCTGAACAGCTCTCATGGAGGCCTTGCCTATGACAATTGTGGCTGGAGAGTCTGCATGTCCAGTGCTGCTAACATCTTTCAGTCTGCGTGCAGGGGTCTGCAAATATAAAAGAAACCAACATCTCACACAGAGCCCAAAACATCAATGAAAGTTATCATCTCAATAAATAAAATTTGGTTTATCTAGATATTCTCAGGTGCCAAAATGGCACAAGTCACCTTGGGTTTTGTCATTTTCGTCTGCTTAGCTGCCTTTTGTTTGACAGTGGTTTTCTTAATGCCACACTCCACTTGAGGTTTAACCTGCCCGAACTTCACAATGTCAGCCCAGGAACTGACCACTTAAGCAGGCACAAAAATACAAAGAAATTAACCACAATGAACAACCACCAATTCAACCCTCTGAAGTGTCTCTGAAGACAAAAGCAATAACTTTTACCTTTTAAATTAGCACGAGAAGCACCACTGCGTCGTGAACGAATAACCTCAAAAGCACTCTTCAGCGCACTTTTAGGGGTCTTCCGAGCTGATGCCTTCATGCTGCTCCTTCTCAGAGAGTTCCTTGGCGTCACACACTCCTGAGAGACATCTACAACAGGGACAGAACCTACTTTTGCTTTCACGCCCTCTCTATCGGGTGATGGGGTGGGGATCCGTGTGATCGAAAAGCGACCCTGCACTGTAGGTGTCTGGAGAATTGATCCATCACTTGACAAAGGTGTCTTAATCGATGTATTTGAGACACTCTTAGCAGATTTAGGGGTCTTGGGTGTAGCAGGGCTTGAGGATGGTGTAGCGGTCTTGGGAGATGTTTTATTTTTTGGAGAAGGAGTTTTACTCTTTGTGCTGGGCGATTTCTTTGCTGGAGAAGGAGTCTTCCCTGGTGAGGCCTTAGGACTCTTACCAGAAGAAGATGCCCGTCTAGGGGATGCATTCTTAGATGGGCTCTCTGGAACAGTCTCATCGAGCTGGAAATTCTATTGACAAGGGAGCATATTTGAAATAAGTTTTACACAACATGAGATCAAAACACCAAAATAATAAAAATAATAATAATAATAATAATAATAAGCCACTTCAAGGTTTACCATTAAGCCAATGGTGGATGCTCGTCGAAGAAGAGACTGGGGTTTCTGAGAGATACCCAGGCTGCGTCTTCCAGGGGTTGCCCCTCGACGGAGAGGGGAGTTGGGTGGTAAACGTTTGTCAAACAGTTCAGGGCTTAGCTGACCACCAAAGGACACCCGCTTCCTCTTGGGCACAGGAATAGGTAAATCCTTACACTTATGCTTCTTACTGGAGACTTGCGCATTATCTGTGAAACAACATGAAATGCACATTCGTTATTTTCATGAATTTTTAGAAGACAAGCAGATTAATGCTGCATTTACATTCGTATCCCATTCATTTTCAAAGGGATGCATCGGCCCATCTGTGCTGCAAGATAGGTCTGGTGCATTAACTTTGGGGGATGCAGTATGTCAAAGCTTTACACAAATGATTCGGCCAACCAATCGGCGTTTACACAATTCGTTTATGCAAATCAACATATTAAACATCTGTCTTGCTTTTCAAACGCTTCTGAGCGACATGGAGGAACCACAAAAGCTCGTGAATTTTAACAATCTTCTCCAAAATTTAAAATACAAGGCAGAAAACAATCAGCTGGATGTTAATAAACTGAACTGACTGACGCTAACTGAAGAAAGTATTTAATGACCCCATCAATGACCCTGATATTCTGGAAAAGTACTTTTAATGATGCATATTGCATTGACTTTATGAGTAAACAAACAATAAAAGCACTAATTACATAAACATCGACTTGGCAAGACTACATTTTAACTAGATTTTGCAAGGAATGCCTTTTTAACCCATATGCAACTGAGAAGGGAGAATGCATTCACATTCGTCACCGTGCAAGACCAGTTGTAATGTATAGCAAGACCTAAAATGATTGGACTCGTCTAGTTATCAGCTGCCAAGAAAATCACTGATATTGTGTGAATGTCACACAAACCTTTGTATCAGAGTTTTTAGTCTCTGGAGACTGTTACAGCAATAAATTGTTTGCTGCTCATAGTAGATTTCAACTAAAAACAATTTCTATGGATACTGTAGAGAAATAATTTTTCTAGTTATTAAATCTGAGTACATTTAAAGAGCTTCTTACTTTGCTGAAATCAATCAGATGTTTGCGATACACAATATGTACATGAGCAGAATTATCAGCAGTGGACAAGCAAGTAACAAGCAAGTCTTACCTTTGTCATGAGAAGCAGGTGTGGTCACAATCTCACGCACTACATCTTGAACTTGGAACCTTTTGCCTGCGTTTTCTCTCGGAGATGTCCTGGGGGTGTGCTTTGCCTCAGATCCTTCTGGCTCTCTGACTGGCGTCTGTGATTGGCTCATGGTGGAAGTCTTGGAGCTTGAGGAAGTCTGAGGAGTTGCCTGGCTTTTCGGGGTCACTACTGGGCTCTGTGGCTGAGAGGCCCCACTTCTCCTACTTTTTGGGGACTTTGGTGTTTTCTCAGCACTTAACAGGATTTGCTGTGCCACCTCACCAGCACTGAATTTCTGTGGCGTCACTTGAGGGGTTTTCTTCTGAGAGACAGGAGTGGTGTGGACCTCCGTCAAGGGGGTAACAGGCCCTGATGAACGCCTCTTCTGTTTTCCAGGAGTTTCCTGAACAGCTGGTGTGGCTACTTGTACTTCTGTGGAAGGGTTCTCCACTACATCCGCGGTGACCGAGCTTTCAGCTGCAAGTGACTCACTGCTGTCTACAGCTTTGACATTTGAGGATCTTCGTTTCTTCTTAGCCGATTTTGGGGTCACAGGCTTGTCGTTTTCATTAGGTAAATTAGAATGGGAGGCTAAAACCTTTTTAGGGTTTTCGTCCTTGTCGACCTGAGGTCTTGCAAGAGGTGACTTGGGCTGAGCTGCAGCTTTCCACGGTGATTTGGAGGCCAGATCTCGTTTGACCATATGATAGAGCTCAGTGAAGGGGGACATGGTACTGTCTGTCTGTTTACCATCTCCCTTTGTAACCTCAACGCTCTGGTCCAGAGAAGACGGCAGGTTGGATCCATCTTTCAAACAAGTGTCTGATAGATAGATAGATAGATAGATAGATAGATAGATAAATAAATAAACAAACAAACACACACACACATACACACACAAGCAGCTCATTATAATTAGGCTAAATATGTGTTAAAAAAAACACCACCCACAAGCTAAGCTTAAGAGCAAGTCAGCTTTACTTAGAAACGATCATTCAGAAGTTCTTCTCTCATGGGCACTCACCTGGGTGTTCTGACTTCTTTTTGTCTGTAGATCCAGGGGTGCTCCTCACCTGTTGATCTTGCAACACCTGTATAGAGGACACACAAAGAAAATTGGCAAAATTGGTGAGAAAGTTACCAAGAACATTTTTTGCCAGCAAATCACAACACAACACAACACAACTTCTACACTGCATAACCAACATTAATTTCATTCTGCTCCTGCATAACAAACCTCACCTTGACAGTGTCTCCTTTCTCAGATGCGGACAATCTCTTTTTCTTTGGTGTCGGTGGAGGTGGGTACTCAAACCTGCAGGGAAGAAAGTAAACTCAATTTCAATATTTCCTATGAACTAAAATAAATTTCCAAGACAAGATTAACAAACATGACAAATGTTCCTGAAAATAGCAAGCACATACCTGAAAGAACGATCAATAACTGTGATTAGATCACCATGCTTCAGACGTTCAGACTGCTGCAAAATCTCCCCGTTGATACGAGTTGGATTCACAGAGCTCAAGTTGGTCAAAATAAGCTTTAAAACGAGACAAAGAGAAAAAAATTATAGCTTACACTGACCTATATACAGATGCACTGTTTTAGTGGAAAACATCTTCCAGCAAAAACCCAAGTTTACCTCTTTATTTTCATTCAGCTCAATTCTGCAGTGCTCTTTGGACACTTGTGGCAGCTGAATTCGAATATCACAGTCCAGCTTCCTAAAACCAGGAAAACAGTGTCAGTTTGTGATCATAACCTCATGCAACAGTGCTCTTAACAATACAAAACATATGCATAAAAAAACCATGAACTTCTTTCTGAGGTCAAGGACTACAGCTCACGTGCCTAGAGCAAATGCTGATTGGTTAAACTGCCATTCTGCGTCACACTTTTACGTTGAGAAAGAAATTAATACACACATTATGTATAACCTAGATCGTTTATGTTGCAAATACTGTACTTAAATTTCTTTTTAAATCAAAAATCACTGCTCCGATTCAGCTCAACGTGCTCCCTTTAAACTCATTTACACTGAACTACATAAATGTTTCATAAACAGACCACTAACATCCACTGATCGTTGTTACTTTCACTTTACCTTTACAAAATGACCAGGCTAACACACAAATCAAAGCAGAACTATAGTTCGTGCCCAAAGATGAATGGGGCATGTCGTCTATACGAACAATCAGAAACTCTCGTATCTGTCGAGGAAGTTCAGAGTAGACAGAAAAGCTCTGATCCAGAGAGAGAAGGAGCACAGTGTTTATGTGCATCAAAGGCAGAGTTTTTACCCGAAAAGCGACTAAAAGAATATAAATAAATTTACAACCATTTAATAATAGGCTACGTAATTAGCTTACCATAGCTGTTAGTGAGGTAAAAGCATCAAATTCCCCTCTATATATTACCAAGTTTAGTGCAGAAAAGCAGAAATTCTCACAAAACAAACACCAGATCATCTAATGGTTCATTTTAAAAATAATAAAAGCACTTTCCACTCAAACTAAAACACAAACATGCGTAAATATCCATAGCTTCTAGTCTGCCGGTGGGCCCACAATTTTATTACACACTTCTGAAACCTAAGAACAGTTCAACCAGTTTGCATCGAAGTTGCTGTAGTTACTGTATTATGAGCCGTAGTATATCATGTGCCTGGGATTTTAAGAGGCTAATAATACATGACGCAATAAGTATGAATGACACTCCATTGCGAATAAATTTCGGTTGTTCGGTTTTAGTTGTCTTGTACTTGTCACTGACTCTTCGAGAAAAAAAAACAAATTTAACTGACTTCTAAATATGTATTTTTAAAATAAACAATTTTTAATAGAACGTTTTGTTGTGAGCTTATTTGGAACAGTCTACTTAAAAGGTACACAATGTACTAATTAAACACAGCCAGATTTTTGCTTTTAAAGATGCATATCCTTTTTTATTATAAAAACATTTAAAATAAGCTGCATATTATTGTATAAGAGATTAATACGTAATTTTAACATCACCTATCTTTCTGAAATCACTGTCTAGTGTCCTAAAAATCTCAATATAAACTTTAAGCTTAATAGGTACGTTTACCCTAGTTTCTTTGGCTGTGCCACCTCCTCCAAGTTCGTCGTCAACAAAGAAATGCCAGTCTTTTTAAACAGGCTTACAAACACAATCATAGGCAGAAACAATGCACAAGCTTGACTTGGAACTGTTCAAATGAGGGTGAGGACTACAGCTTAGGCACCTATAGCGAATGCTGATTGGCTAGAAGCTCATTCTACATCATGTCTGACGTCAAACGGAAGCTCCGCCCAGATAAGGCATGGCAAGTTGTTTAAAGGAAGACAGAACTCACATAAAAAAGGCAGACAACACACGAACAACCAAACTCCCAGAAACCGTGTAGCTTTCCGATCTGTGCCACTGACCTTCCAAACAGGCAGGAAGCTGTGAGAGGAAACTCTGTCCCATCTGCACCGTTTCGCTTGATCACCACAATCTTACCGAGTAGAGGCATCTTCAACTCACCTGTTTGGAGAAGAAATAATAATAATAATAATAATAATAATAATAATAAAAAGAACCATATTTAAGTGTAGTCCTGTCTGGATAGCTGCAATGTGACTTGAGATATATCAAAAGTCACATTGCAGCTATCCAGACAGGACTACACTTAAATATGGTTCTTCAAGGGTTCTTTAGAAAAGGCAATAGCTCTGCAGCTCAGGGTACTATTAAACCATTTAAAGCTGGCATGGGTCACTGTATTGTGAAATAGTTCTTCAGATTGATGGACAATGTGCTGCATATGGTTCTACACAGATCCAAAAAGGGTTCTGATATTGTCACGATGTCAAACTTGTAACTACAGAAACTCTATTAGTGCTAGATAGATCCATTTTCTATTGGTGCTAGATAGATCCATTTTCAAACAGGTTCAGCGTTAACGCAGAACCATATACAACTATTTGGGCACGAAATGGTTCTATATAGAGCTCACGGTTCCACTGTTTTTACCAAAGAACCCTTGAAGAACCCTCTTTAAAGTGTAGGTCATTTTTTAAACACACGTGGAGGGCCTCGTGATCACGGAGTATGCCTGATTTAAAATGTGCCTCTACGTAGGAACACAATGCACTGCAAAAACAGCTCATAGAGACACGTAAAACAGATTATTATGTGCTTTTTGTGGAATAACTCTGTTCTCCTGTCTTCTGAACTATGTGAATGAGTCAATTATTTAATGTGTTGTTTTTCGGTATCTAAATTTCCCATCAGGAGTCAATAAATGTCGACGAAGGAGTAGAAAAAAAAACGTATCTAAATATTCAACTATTAATGTGCTACTAGCTAACTTGTCACCTAGTACGTTGCCTCTAGTTAACTGTTAAATGCTCCATGCTGCTTCGGTTAAATCCAATGTCTCGCTAGCGACGTACAAAACAATAAAAACACAAAAACAGCTTATTAAAATGAATCGTAATACCTTTAAATAAAAGCCAAATTCTCACCACTAGGCTTTAACAGCTAAACATAAGCTGCCCAGCTCTTACATGTAAGCTTTACATTGAGTCTGAGCTGCATAAACGAAGCTGCAGTCACCTTCTCATTCAAATTACCCGTTCCACCTTAAATGGTGGCGAAGAACTAACGGATTTTCCCATTTTCTACACAGATAAGAGCGTTTATGCTTAAAGTAAATCTATCTTACCTGAGTAAACTCGATCCTGAAGATAAAATAAGACTTTAAATCCGTGTTTTACTCTAAATTCGCTATAAACCGAGGCGCCATCTGCCTCGCTCACTAACCGCCACTACCGGATCTAACTACTACAGCGAGGCCGGCGCGGATGATATGCTGCCGCTAAAATCTAAAAAAGTACCGAAACATAACAAGTTTCACACAATATCCGGACTAAAATTGCAGTTACAGCACGAATACACAAAACATGATAATATATGTTAGTTTTAAGTTCTAAAACGTTTGCAAGTTTGATATCACTATCCAGGACTATATTGTTTATGAAAAAAGCGGAGGGATACACGGCGTAATAACTACTCCACTTTTGAACACGGTTCGAAATTCCGCGCGAAGGCCGCCGATTGGTCCGGCGCTTTTAAATATGTGAAGGTAGGAGCCAATAGGACGGAGAGGCGGGCTTCAACGGGATTTGAGTGACACCGTAGGTGACCAATAATTAGAACTAATGTTATGCAACGAAACGCTATGTTAGCACGCTGTATATCTGTAGTTTTGTGTATTTTGGAGTTTTCCACTCCGTATAACAGCGACAAGTAATAAAAATGCTTAAAAGTAACAATTTTATCATTAGTGAGGGGTTTAATTTCCTATCTATCTATCTATCTATCTATCTATCTATTCTTATGCAATGTTCGGATCATTTTAATATTTGTTGTCGTTTTGCAATGTTTTTAGTTTTCTTTGACAAACTGTCAATAACTGCTTTCTAATTTGAGGACCCCAAAGAAAACTATATTGCATTTAAGACGGTGCTTTTTCTGTTTGTATTCTTCCCCTTATCAAAAGATAATTCTACCAAATTCTCATAATTTCTGAATTATGAAGTGGCAGAGAAACAGAGTCAGAACTGTTCACAGTGGTGGTGATAGGAACCAGACGTCCACCTCTAAAAAGCTCCCTCGCAGAAAGTTATACACACACACACACACACACACACACACACACACACATATATATATATATATATATATATATATATATATATATATATATATGTAGTCCATTTATATATATATATATATATATAGTCCATCTGTTTCTCTGCATACTTTGTTAGCCCCCTTTCACCCTGTTCTTCAGTGGTCAGGACCCCCATGGACCCTCACAGAGCAGGTACTATTTGGGTGGTGGATCATTCTCAGCCCTGCAGTAACACTGATGTGGTGGTGGTGTGTTAGTGTGTGTTGCGCTGGTCTGAGTGGATCAGACACAGCAGTGCTGCTGGTGTTTTTAAACACCTCAGTGTCACTGCTGGACTGAGAATAGTGCACCAACCAAAACTGTCCAGCCAACAGTGTCCTGTGGGCAGCGTCCTGTGACCACTGATGAAGGACTGGAGGATGACCAACACAAACTGTGCAGCAGCAGATGAGCTATCGTCTCTGACTTTACATCTACAAGGTGGACTGACAAGGTAGGAGTGTCTAATAGAGTGGACAGAGTGTTTAAATGCTCCAGCAGCACTGCTGTCTGATCTACTCGTACCAGCGCAACACACACTAACACACCACCACCATATCAGTGTTACTGCAGTGCTGAGAATGATCCACCAAATAGTACCTGCTCTGTGAGGGTCCATGGGGGTCCTGACCACTGAAGAACAGGGTAAAAGGGGGCTAACAAAGTATCAGAGAAACAGATGGACTACAGTCTGTAACTGCAGAACTACAAAGTGCACCTATATAGTAAGTGGAGCTGATAAAATGGACAGTGAGCATAGAAACAAGAACAACAACAAACCCTGACAAAATAGCAACATATCCTGTAACCTGGACTGGTCCTCCTTCCTTTCGTCCAGGCTCTGGGTATCACATCAAATAGCGTCTCTGGGGTTCAGATATTGAGGGGGAGGCTGAAGTCCATGTGGAGGGAGTTGCAGTGAGATTGTGTATTGGCTCAGCTGCAGACTGTGTCCAAAAACCTCCCTCCTCCAACTCTGTTCCAGCTTTTCCCAGAAGGATTCAGATGTACGACATATGCTTGCAACCAAAAACCATCTGCTGGTCACAGTTTCAGCTCAAACTGTCCATCATGATAATAGCATTCCCAGTTACAGACTCTCAAAACAGTATTTTTAGTTTAGTACCGGTCCATTAGGGTGGGCTGCATGATGATATATTATCATTACTGTGATAAATCAGGCCACAATATACTTTTCTAAATATACCATGTGTATCACCAGTATTTACAGAACAACCATATAACCCAATACTGTAATAATTTCCCAATAATGTAATTATTTTTGAACTGAACTTGACCAAAAACGTAAGAAACTAAAGAAATTAAATATAGTTAACCTGAAAATGAAATGATTTCCCAGTAATGCAATAGCGTATTACGTTATCAATCAAATATGATTACATTATTGGTCAAGACACTGTATTAAATATTTGGGCAAGTTATTACATTGATTGATTTTTTAACTCCAGGCCTTGACATTATTACATTATTGGGTTCTACAACAACCAGCAGCAATTATCATAAATATGACAGATTTAGAATCATTTTGGAGAGCATGTAACCAACAACCAGTGTACTGTAACTGTAAAACTGCATATTACAAAACGTGGTTATGCTCCTAAAATCGGATTGGCTGCCGTGAAACACTCAGTATCCGGTCAGAGAATTTCTAGTGAGAATTGCCACTCAATAATGTTCACTGGTATTGTCAGGCACTAGAGGGCGCACCCGAGCAAGTCCAAAAGGAATGGGATGCTATACAGCTATTGTGCAAAAATATCATAGTTTGTAAACGAAAAAAAGGTTCATCATTTTTACACAGAAAGCACTTGGTTTCTCAGAACAACGACAAATTTCAACACTACTGTCAAAATTTTGAGCACTTTAACTCTTTAACTCCAGTTACAGAACTTCCTAACAGTGTCTTATGAATATTCATGATATTAGTGAGTGCAAACCAGTTCACTCAGTCAGTGAGCTGATTAGCCTGCCAACCAAACAGCATTCAGTAGCACTAATGCCAACCAATCAGCACTCAGTAGCCGCAACGCCAACAAATCAGCACTCGTTGGCAGTAATGCGAACCAATCAGCACTCAGTAGCAGTAATGCTAACCAATCAGCACTCAGTAGCACTAATGCTAACAAATCAGCACTCAGTAGCACTAATGCTAACAAATCAGCACTCAGTAACAGTAATGCTAACCAATCAACACTCAGTAACAAAAATGCTAACAAATCAGCACTCAGTAGCAGTAATGCTAACCAATCAGCACTCAGTAGCACTAATGCTAACAAATCAGCACTCAGTAGCACTAATGCTAACAAATCAGCACTCAGTAACAGTAATGCTAACCAATCAACACTCAGTAACAAAAATGCTAACCAATCAACACTCAGTAACAAAAATGCTAACAAATCAGCACTCAGTAGCAGTAATGCTAACCAATCAGTACTCAGTAGCAGTAATGCTTACAAATCAGTACTCAGTAACAGTAATGCTAACCAATCAGCACTCAGTAGCAGAAATGCTAACAAATCAGCACTCAGTAGCAGTAATGCTAACCAATCAGCCCTCAGTAACAGTAATGCTAGTATCCCACAACCCAAAACCTGTTTTCTGTAGAAAATCAGAAATATACTGGTGAGGCTTCTTTGATTTTTTTTCTATTTTGACGAAAGGTTCTGCACAAATGTTTCGTTCTCAGCTCTCATGGGCGCCCCCTGGCATTTCAGTCATGTTTTTGATATAATGGGAGAAACAGGAAGTTGCCAGACTCCCCTTAAACTGCCTCTGGCACACAGTGTGATGTTTTGAGTGAAGTGTTTATGTTCAGTATGAGTACATAAAATCATAGCCTTTGTCTACATGATGATCTATTCAAATGTGCAGTGTGAGTCACCAAAGAACAAGACTTGTGTGTCTGGCTTTGGAGGACATTCATCTACAGTTCAACCAGCCAATAAAAAACGAGACATGAAGCTCGGAACGTGAGCTCTTCGGATGCAACAGCCTTGGATGAGATTCCTGCTGTTGCTGTGCTACAGAAATTGCTGTTGAAAGAGACAGATGAGGATCAAAACTATGAAATGTACTTTACTTACAGCTGTACAGAAGCACGTTTTCTGATGTGGAACAAAAGCTGCTGCAGCGCTATTCGATCCAAGGTAACTAATGTAGCATAGCTAGCTAATGCACATCATTCAAAATCAGCTAACTGTTCAGGTTCACTGCATTAACACTAACAGTTACCTAGTTCCAAGTGAGTTACTCAATATGGGATTGGTATCAGCAAATAGCAAGCATGTGTGCACGTACTTGGTCTGAAAAACAACAGTATTGATGCATCTAGAGCTGGGCAATATGGCCAAAAATGCTATCACGATAAACAAAATTCATATTGTTCGATATCGATACATATCATGATAACCGTCAAATCATTATTTCTCTCTAGTCTGAAGGCTGAGTTGTTAATTGCTGTTTTAAACTATCCTTTATGGTCAGAACATGACAAACACTCGGCAAACAGTGGAACATTTCACAAATCTGTTATGGGAGAGTGGGAGAAAGTGTCTGGTGAGCTGTTTTTACCAGCTGGAAAGGCACAGCCGCAGTTTTTGTAATATTCATAATTTACGAAAGAAAAGATTATTTTTAGCTGTCTGGTGACGAGTGCTCGGCTACCCTGTTACAAATGCTAAACAAGTGGCCAACAACAGTGCTGAAACTATTTAGTTTCGCAACAACGTCAACTTAGTACAAACAGCGAACATTATCTGGCTCGGTACATCAGTGATGGATCCCACCGCCTTACTTATGTCAGAGCATATCACAGTATTCAGACACCAGCTAACGACGACTGGATTTCTCTATACTATCTTAGTAGTTTAAGGGGTGAAGCGCAACATATCAACACCAGACAAACGGAGTCGTCCTTTTAGGTACATTTAAACTGCTTTTGTGTCGTGTTTGATCTACCGTATCATCAGTTCTCCGTGTTGTGGAGTGACGGAGCGCCGCTTCAATTTAGCCAGCTGCTAAAAACAGCTAGCCTGGAAACCTAGCGATCTCCCGCTCTCCAATGCCTCACAGCTTCCTCGGTTTACTTTCGTTTAAATCAGGGCTGTAATTTACATGAACCCACTTTTCTTTCACTTTTGTTACTTGTGAATGCACTAATACTAAAATATGACTGGGCGCTGTAACAGCGCTGTAGTTGAGAGGAGCAGACGTGATTTAACGCTACTAAAGCTTGTTAGGATGTTAGGAAAGTAGTGAGTTCGCTGTAGGACAGTACAGTTACACCACTGACCTCGTCACTCACACTCGGTCACAGGAGAACAGATCGCCGGTTGCTCCACTCAAACAGGGACTGTATAACTCCACGTTTCAGATGTTGCTAAAGTATATTTGGCAACCGTTTTTTTACTCGTGGCCCCCTCCCTCTCTAATCATGTTGAAAAACTCGGAAGTGCACCGTCTCGTTGCGAGAGCAGTGTCGCTTTCCTTGCAGCAGAAAATGCCACCAAGGCTTTCGCTAGAACGTGGAAGTGTGAGAATGGTGTATTATATCGAAAACTTATCGAACCTTTTTTATCGCTCTATCATAGAAAAGTTATATCGCGATAATTATCGTTACCGTTTTATCGCCCAGCCCTAGATGCATCCCTAACTTTTATTGCTAAAATACTGTTAATCTTGAATTTTCTTATAAATAGAATATATAACGACATCCATGCTACCTGCATGTTTTAGCAACACAGTGATCATTTTTATATTTCGCAGTAAGTCACACTTTGCACTAGGATGTTAGCATGTGCACAACAGAGGGGTTTGATTTTGGACAGAGTCCCTTTAAAACCTCACGGAATATCAGATCACACCTGCGTCATTATTGCTTTAGCTCTACTGTAGTTCTAGTTCTATTGTTATGATGTTATTTCAATGTTAGTGTTACCAAAGCAATCAGACAAACAACAGACGCAGATCTTATTTTTTGACCACAGTTTATGTCATTTCTTTTGTGCACAATTTATGTGAGTGTAAATTAATTTTTTTTCCAATGTTTTTGTTTCCATGAAAAACATCATCATCATCATCATCAACAGTCGGCAATAAACAACAAAATCTCTCTTCATTTTTTTTTCTTCTCCTCTAATGGTCATAAAAAGAGAAAAAAACCTCAGTGAAGAAATTCAACCACATCTACTATCGGAGTCCACTTCTTTTTGTTTTTCTGTTTTTTAACTTGATCACAATCATTCCTGCTTTTCTCTCTATATATATTTATATATATATTTTTTTTCGTAAAAAATCTGTCTCTTGGAAGTTGGAAAAGGTCAGGCCAGCTCAATCATTTATCTGCAGTCCAGGCCTGAGGTGTCCGAGTGAGAAAAAAAAATTAACAAAACAAAAAAAATTAAAATAAAAATAAAAACAAGAAAAGAAAAGCAGAAAAGTTCACACGGGTTCTCTGAGTCTGTCCTGTTTGTCCTGTTAGTCCTCACACACACCTTCTCCTCTTTGCGTCTCGCGCTCGTCGGGGTGCTTGGACCCCTAGAATTGCCGTTTTATCCTCAAACGCGTTCACTTCTCTTTTGCTTCGGCGTTCGTCCCTCCGGTCGTCCGGCGAGCCTTTCGTCAGACGAGCGTGCAGAGCGAGAGAGGCAGAGTGCGAGAGAGGGAGAGATGAAGGACTTGGCGCCGCCCCACAGGAGGATAGAGGGAGAGCAGGAGGAAGAACCAAACGGCTCCGCTCGGGTCCACTTGGGCCGCTCAGTGTGTGTGGGGCGTGTTTGAGGGAACACAGTAGTTGGTAGGCGGCTGTTGCCGTGGCGACGGCGGTGGTCAGGGTGAGTGTGTGGGCGGGCTGCTTTGGGCAGAGCTTGGAGAGAGGGAAGGGCTACAGCTGCCGGGCGGAGCGCCGGTGGGACGAGACGAGGCTCCGCTCCCTGAACTCTCCAGACCCTCGGAATTCTCCAACATCTCCTGGATTAGTGGTGGCATGGAGCCGGGAATTTCCATCTTCAGAGTGATCACACGCTCCGCACCTGAAAGAGAGAAAATGTTATTTTTTACTCTACTTTTCTTTTTTTTCATATTATATTTTATTTTACTTTTTTTTACTTTTTGTGTGTGTGTGTGTGTGTGTGTGTGTGTGTGTGTGTGTGTGTGTGTAGGGGTGTGTTTCTCTTACCCTTGGCGCTGATGCTCCTCAGGTCAGTGATTTTCATGAGCATTTTGGGGAACATGTGTGGTTTGTGTGGTCTCCTCCTCCTCACATACAGCTTCAAAGCCTCCAGCAGCGGCTCCTGCAGGACGTCCACTTTATCGGCCTCTTCGAGGTCCTGCCGGTCTGCGCGCACACACACACACACACACGTTAACCCACAGTCTGGACCAGCTCCACACTGTGTGGCACGTCATTCTTGAATGAAGAGTTTGCAATGCTGCCACTAGATGGCGCCAGTTATCCAGTTAGAAACCATGTACTTCCACGTTCTGTGAGCTTCACTGACCTAATAGTTCCACTACATTGATCTACAGTTACAGACAATTGTAGCCCATCTTTTGCTGCTCAACATTAGCCCTCCACACTTCATGCATCACTGGTCAGTTTCTGACAACAAGGCTGCTGTTGTCAAGATATTGTTTGGGTGCTCAGCACAGCAGTGACCCTAACATAGTAGTGTGTATGGTGCTGGTACGAGTGTATCGGACACTGCAGTGTTGCTGCTAGATTGAGAGTGGACCACCACCGAAAAATATCCAAAAGCGGCTCTGTGGTTAGAAACTGACCACTAATGAAGGACTAGGAGGATGGCTAACACAAACTGTGCATCAACAGATGAGCTACAGCTCTTTAACTGTACACCAGCAAGGTGGAGCTAAAAGAGAGGGGTTTCTGATAAAGTGGCCAGTGAGTGTGAAAGCTTGCAGTCTGGACAGTGTGTGTGTGTCTGACCTCCACACAGCAGGCAGATGGCGCTCAAGAGCCCCGTCTCAGCGTCGTCCATCTCCAGCGGCAGAAGCTGGTTGGCGAAGGCGAACACCAGGTCAGTGAGTGGCCCAAAACCGGCATTGTGCATCTGCGTCCGGTTCAGCGTCAGACCGTCCGAAAACGTCATGGTGTCCTGCTCCGGTGTGTAGCGCGTACAGATCCGCAAAATCTACAACAGCAACAAAACCAAAAAATGTAGTTAAATAATGATTGAAAAACAACATAAATTGAATGTAACAACGTTAGAACAAGACAATATCTGAGACTTCTGAGGTTTGAAGGGACACTTTCATAAAAATGCAACAGAATGCTAATAATAGTGACTGACGGTCAGTAAGGGTCAGCATATGTCAGACTGTTCTGAGTTGATCGCTTTATGTTTTTCTTCACCTCCTACAACTTTTGTAGAAAGTATAGAGTCTGTACTTTCTTTCTATGTACAGGAGGAGATATTTTACATTGATCTGAATATGATACAAGTACGGTTTTCTTGCTTTACAGAGAGAAAAAATATCTACTAGAAACGTGAAAAAGAAGTGCAAACTCAAAGAGAACGCAGATTAAATGTAAATGTTCATTCATTACAATAGCCACGTTTACATGCAGCCTAATAATCCGTCAATAATCAGACTAACAGCTCAATTGGAATAGAATACGTCCATGTGAACACCTCAATCGGACTGGACTATTCTGACTGAGGCCATTCGGAATACAGTTTCTATCCGATTGAACAAGGTGGGTAATCCTGTAAATAATCTGTTAAATAGAAGAATAATATCTGTGTAAACGCCTGTATCTGATTACATTCCCTATCGGAAAGTTTAAGTCCGTTCTGATCATGTTTGTCGCGTCATAGTGAAAGTTTATACCGTTCAACATGGCGGAGCAGAAACTGGTCTGCAGAGGAGACGAAGTTTATGCTCTGATCTTTAAAAGGCGGCGGTGGGACGGACGTCCAGCTTATGTGTCTCAGAACTCGACATCTTCCTCTCGGCCTTCTTTAATAAGGACATATGAAGGACGTTTTCCTGAGTCTGACATCATTTTAAAGTAATTAAAAACACAAGCACTGCTCACTGCTGCTAATCTCACTCTGACTGGACTCACGTGATGCTGGTTGTCATGGTAACGTCTACACTAAGTGGTTCTCTACGCATGCAGGTAATTCTGGATCAGATTACTTGTAGTGAGCATGTAAATGGAGATTTCCATCAGATTGTTGAGTAGAGTGAGAATAAACACCTCAGTCTGAATCCATAATCGGAACGTTTTTAATCAGATCGGCAAAATATCTTTGCATGTAAACACAGACGGTGTACTTCTGCAATGATATTTAAATAGTTATATAATGTAAATCAGACAGCAAAGGCACAGTGATAATGCAGTTTTATGTGTTGTCAATACTGTTATTGTTACTGAAGGGTAAAGCTGCTGTAATCACCAGTATGTCGAGGCAGGCGGCTTTGAGGAGTGTGATCTGGTCAGCGATGGACAGCGTGGTGAAGCCGGGCAGCTGCTTAGCGAACTCCACCGTTTTAATGATGCACTTAGTGGAGAGTTCACTGAATTTATCCCACAGATCAACGTCCAGAGAAACCCTCCGCTCCGAACTGTTACTCTACAGACAGACAGACAGACAGACAGACAGAAAGAGATTTAAGCACTTAAGCAATGTCATTTAAAGGGAAATATTCTTGAAAAATCCAGCGTACACCAGGGACGCAGGAAGGTGTTTCAAAGTGGAGGTGCTAAAACTGTACGTAGTGCATAAGTGACGTGATCGATGACATCACAAAAAATGATTTGCATTTTTTTTTGTCGTTGCTAATTTACCTCAGAGGATGTCGGTGCTATAACGAGGCGAGAGACGACAACACATTCACACAACTGACACGTCAAACCTCTGACTGCACGGCACATTCCGGACAAACTTTATGCAAATGAACTGAGCAGGGACCAATCAGATTGTTGATGTGAGCCACGGTAATTAAGTGTCACGCTGACAGTCACACAGTGAGATTCAGCACCGGGACAGACGCAGAGCGGGAGATATAACAGTCGATGAAACGGTGGGGGAATTGGGGGGGGGGGTCTACAGCCTCCTCAGTACCCCCACTTCCCAGAGCCATTACTGAATTTAAGGGGTCCCTAAGCAACAGCCACCACCCCCCCCCCACCCCATCCAATTAATCCCATTATTTTGTATAACAGCTTCTTACAGAGTCGTATGCAAAAGTTTGGGCACCCCTGATAAAAGTCCCTGTTTTTGTTGATGTTCTAAGTGTAAATAAGTGAACACGTCCTCTACTGTGAACACACTTCTGCACATTTAAATACACAATCACTGTTTACTGGCTGAATTTAACACACTGAGAAAAAGACAGAACCTAAAACGTGTCTTGTGTAAACATTATGGCACATTTTATAATCTATGTTTTATCTTAATTCATCTAAAGATTATTTGAATATATTTCTTTATCTCTCTTGAGCCAAAGCTAAGAATCCCATCCAGGTGAAAAACAGTAAATTTTCTTTGCTATTTCTCGTGTTATTACACACACACACACACACACACACACACACACACACACACACAAACTGACCGTGGTGTACTTCCCCAGTTGACACAGTGAGGGGAAAGTGTCCTGGTGGGCTTTTCTCACTCTGTCGATCATCTGCTCCGTGTCAGGACTGAGCGTCAGACTCTCTGAACACTCCGTCTTCTTCTCCTCCTTCTTCTTCTTATTTCTGTCATTCCTCACTGCTGCAGAGAGCGAGGGAGAGAAAGAGAGAGAGAGAGAGAGAGAGGTTAGTCATGAAGTGGCAAAGATATGCACAAAATAATCAATCACACTAAAACTATGACCTGATACAGAAACTCAAGCGCACTTTCCCCCCCACAGAAACGCTGTGTTTGTATACAGAACTTTTCCATCAACATTACTGTTTTAAAGTCTTTTAAATCGTTTTTGACCCTCGTTAGAATTTTCACTTGGTTTCCGAGAAGCTTTTTAGGCACATTAGTGTTTTTGATGGATGGATGGACTAACAGATAAATAGATAGACAGAACTTTATTGATCCCGCAGGGAAACTGCAGTGTTATAGCAGCAGGAAACTTACAAATATTAGGCAGAAATAAAAATAGAAATAAAAGTAGACATAAATTAGGCAGAAATTAAAATATAAATAAAAACACAGAAATTAGACAGGAAGAAAAATAGAAATAAAAATAGACAAATTAGGAAGAAATTAAAATAGAAACAAAAAAGGCAGAAATAAAAATAGCAATAAAAACATAAACTAGGCAGAAATAAAAGTAGAAATAAATTAAGCAGAAATAAAAATAGAAATACAAATATAAATAGAAATAAAAATAGACGTAAATTAGGCAGAAATTAAAATATAAATAAAAACACAGAAATTAGACAGGAAGAAAAATAGAAATAAAAACAGACAGAAATTAGGCAGAAATAAAAGTAGAAATAAATTAAGCAGAAATAAAAATAGAAATACAAATATAAATATAAATAAAAATAGACATAAATAAGGCAGAAATAAAAATGAGACAAGTTAGAGTAAAGTATGAGAGAGTAGAAATAGAAGTGTATATATTTGCATATCTACACTGCACATAAGACAGATCTGCTGTATTTCCGTGAGAGCAGGTGTTGCACTAAGTGGTCTCAGGTAGTTACAACACTGAGTATAAACATAACTCGGGAATATCAGGAAGCCACCGGTTTCAAAAAGTTCTGTTCACATTTGCATTTTCATTTCTGGAAGTTCCCCCATGTTAATTTTCACAACTCTTTCCATCCACATCAGCATTTTTACACTGTTTTCAAAAAATTAGATCCAACATCCAAACCAGACAAGCTGAGATCAGAGCAGCGCGACTCTCGTCTATTCTCTCAGACCACACCACAGCGCCCCGCAGAGCGCTTTCAACAGCACACATTCAAGGCCAAAACGGAGAAAAACGATTTATATTAAATGTATATGAATTTGAGTAGCCTGGCCTTAACATCTGTGCAGTAAACAGAATATGATTAATGTGTGGAAGCTCAGTCACTCACACTGTAACAGATAATAACAGTATAGCTGGGCAATATGACAACATCGTTATCATCATAACGCATCAAAATGAGTCACTATGCTTGTCTGAGTGTTTCGTGGGTCTCATCTCTACTTAAATCACTTCACAACTGCATATTTGGTTAAAAAGAGCATAATTAGTCCTGTTTAACTGGATTTAGTGCAGCACAGTGTGTGAACGTTACATTTATAACTGGATTCAGAGTTTTTTGATGTGGCTCTACTTTGTCTGTTCAAACTGATCAGATGTCAAATATTATTATAAATATTGTGACATCATGTGTTGTGAAAAGCTTCCTGAGTATCGTGATGTCACATTCTGCCGTATTGGCCGGCTCTAGTTGACAGACGTGTCAGTGAAAGTGTGAGAGGAGGTGTGATGACAGCAGGGATTTATTAAAACACACACACACACACACACACACACACACACACACAGACACAGACACACACACACACACACACACTCTACCTCTGCCTCCCATCACTTCACCCAAACAGACTCTGCCCCCACCCTCTCACCTCCCCAGCCCCGCCCTCTCCCCCAGGTGGGTGGGTGATCAGTGCTGGCTGTATATAACACTGATAAATCACTGACTCTTTTATTAAACCCCCCCAAAACTAATCTAATCTCTCTCACACACACACACACACACACACGCACACACACACACACACACACACACAAACACAAACACACACACACAAACTCTAATCTGGTGTCTCCACAGTGCTGTGTGTGTGTGTGTGTGTGTGTGTGTGTGTGTGTGTGTGTTACTGCATTGTTTGTCTTTCTCCATCTCTAACTTCTCTCTCCCTTTTTCTCCTCTTTGTCTCCCTTTTTCTCACTCCTTCTCCTTTTTCTCTTCATCTCTTTTCTCTCTTTCTCTGTCTCTCCTCCTTTTCCTCCACTCTCTCTCTCTCTCTCTCTGTATTAAACTATGGCATATATAAGACTTTTCTCCCTTCTTCCCCTCTTTTCTTTCTCTCTCTCTTCCTCTTCTCTTTCCTCTCGCTCTCCTTTCTCTCTTTCTCTCAAACTCTTTCTCCTCCTCTTTTTTCTCTCTCGTCCTCTCGCTCTCCCTTCTCTCTGTATGAAACAGGGTCCTCTGCAACTCTCTGTCCTCTTTCTATCTATCCCTCTTCTCTGTTTTTTACCTCTTATCTCACACACTCCTCTCTGTCTCTCTCCCGCTCTTGTTTTCTTTCTCTTCGTTTCTCACCACCCCTCTCTATTTTTTATCATCTTATCTCTTCTTTTTCTCTCTCTCTCCCTCTCCCTCTCCCTCTCTCCCTCTCCCTCTCTCTGACAGATCGCTGTGGCGATCATAAGCTGCACACATACAGTTTAATGAAGCCATTAAAGCGCTATTAGCCTGGTCGCTTCATCCGTCACACACAAAGACCCGGGGGGAGTGTGTGTGTGTGTGTGTGTGTGAGTCTGTGTGTGTGTGTGTGTGTGTGTGTGTGTGTGTCTGTGTGTGTGTGTGTGTGTGAGGTTTATTTTCTCATTGCTGCAGGGTTGTGGTGAAGTCAGAGAAGCGGGGGGTGTGGGGGGTGGGGGGGTGTGGGGGGTTCAGGATTGTTTGAAGGGCCCAATATTATGGAAAAATAAATGTTTCTGTTGTTTCGGTTAAAAGAGTTTGATGCAGTGTGTAAACATTGCTAAAGTTTTAAAAAATACTGTTCATTACCAGCAGAAATCTGCAAAAACAGTTAGTTTCAAATTATTTTGTGATGCCATAAAAACCAACACATGTAAATATACCCACCTATTCGAGCTTTATCTGCTTAGTTAGTTTAGCTGCTGAGTTAGCAGTTCAGTTAGAACAGTAGCCACGTTTACATGCAGCCTAATAATCCGTTAATAATCCGACTAATAGCTCAATCAGAATAGAAGACGTCCATGTAAACACCTCAATCGGAACAGAGTCCGATTAAAACCGATACAATTTCTATCCGACTGATCGAGGTGGGTAATCCTGTAAATAATCTGTTAAATAGAAGAATAATATCCGTGTAAACGCCTGTATCTGATTACATTCCCTATCGGAAAGTTTAAGTCCGTTCTGATCATGTTCGTTGCATCATAGTGAAAGTTTATACCGTTCAACATGGCGGAGCAGAAACTGGTCTGCAGAGGAGACGAAGTTTATGCTCTGATCTTTAAAAGACGGCGGTGGGACGGACGTCCAGCTTATGTGTCTCAGAACACGACGTCTTCCTCTCGGCCTTCTTTAATAAGGACATGTGAAGGACGTTTTCCTGAGTCTGACATCATTTTAAAGGAATTAAAAACACAAGCGCTGCTCACTGCTGCTCATCTCACTCTGACTGGACTCACGTGATGCTGGTTGTCATGGTAACGTCTACACTAAGTGGTTCTCTACACATGCAGGTAATTCTGGATCAGATTACTTGTAGTGAGCATGTAAATGGAGATTTTCATCAGATTGTTGAGTAGAGTGAGAATAAACACCTCAGTCTTAATCTGTAATCGGAACGTATTCAATCAGATCGGATTAAATCTTTGCATATAAACACAGACAGTGTCACAAAATTGACTTGAGATATGATATGATGTTCTATTTGATCTGAATGATCCAAAAATGATGTCACTGCATATATCACAAATACACTGCTTGAAATTTCAGCACCCCCAACTTCCCATCACTACCCAGCAGATAACACCACACTGTCCGTAACGTATGAGAAAACAGAGCGAGAGAAACGTTGTGTCTCCATATCTGTGAGCTGCAGATCCGTAAGTGCAGTTTTCTACAGCAGAACGTTTCTTCATATGAGCGAGTGTGTGCGCGAGTGCGCGAGTGCGCGAGTGTTGACGGCTGTAATTTGTGAGGAGAAAATTAAAATGCTGGCAGGTCGTCCATCACGCAGATGAAATCCAATGGAAAGATAAAAACGTCAATGTTCTCACCTCTTTTTCACCATCCCTCCATCCCCCCCTCCCCCCTCCCCTCACAGCTCGCCTGGAGACCAAGCGGGTGTGTGTCGGCTGTAGCCTTTGTCTGTACACACTCACTGGCCACTTTATTAGAAACCCCCCGCCTTGCAGCTCTGCTATGTTTTAGTACAAAGAATAAAGAGGATCTGGCCATTAATTAATATCTGTCGTTAACAGACTATAACAATTATAAACAAGTCTGTCCACTCAGCGGCTATCTTGCCAACATCACTGGGCAGTTACTTTCAGTCATATGAGATCCGAGGCCGTCCTCGGTTAAGATCTGACAAGGTCAAGATAAGATTTTCATATTACAGAAGCAAATCTGATCTTAATTTAGGAAATATATCTGATCTTATCTCGAGATAAGATATACTAAACTATTTGATCGAGGTCCATAATCAGTTGTATATGTTTACCAAGCAACCAACTATACAGACAGCTGACCCTTATAAAAAAGTCGCATGAATTTCACGTGGAAAAAAACATGATTTTTCCAAAATTCACGTTAAAACTGTGCTATCACATACGCGGAAAAAACGTGATGGCTTATAACGTGTTTTTTCACACTTCACGACTTCGTAAGGGAAAATGTAAACACAATGAAAATAATGCTATAAAAAGTTCGTTACCCAGACGGCTACAGCAAACGTCAAAACAAAAATGATGTGTGACAAACTGAAACTTAAAAATATGGCGCCCCCTGCTGTTTAACAGCACATCATCGCTCCGCAGTTTCAGTTTCCATCTCCGTCTCCCAGAACTGCACTAGAAAATCAACAAAACATGCCATTTGACCAGGGGTGCGTAAACTTTTGTATAATCACAGTCAAAAGAAAAACAAGCGTCTCAAAATTGCTCACTTTACAGGAGAGGGCAACAACGTTCTTTGCTTTCCATGTAATTTAATGTAAAGAGATTTTATTTGAAGCAATTTTAGAGCATTTCTATTGGTCCAATCGCCATGAAACTTCCACACAATGTAAAGAAAAGCTGAAATAAGGCAGAAAACTAAAAATCGCAAAAAAATGAGATACCTGGGTTTTTTCGGACAGTGATGATATGACCAATACTGACTAGGCTAGCAACTGTTTTCTAGATAATGCTAAAGCGTCGGCCTTGAGGACACCATGAAGAAGACCGTCCTGCCTTATCGTAGCAAATTCAGTAATGTTTTCATACCTTATTTTGTTTTTATTTAAAATATGAACTGAATTTTAGTCATGGATGTGTAATATGTATATAACGAATCATATCGATATCAGCAGATAATTGTGTTTAAAACGGTCGTTGCCGTTTGACAGATGTTCAGACTCAAATTGACATTTGACGATGTATTTATTTTAATCCAGAGGAGCAGAATGTTCAGGATAATTGTGCTAAAATATCTGTATTTCAGTTGTTTTAATGCACTCATAACCCTCTATGGACCAGTGTTAGGCTACGTTCACATTACAAGCCTCGTCGCTCAAATCTGATCTCTCTGACTCGATGGTTCACACTCGTTTAGGTAAGTGACTCAAATCTGTCATTAATGTGACGAACTGGCGTCCTAAAATGACCCTCATGAGCTCATCCTACTCAGTAACGTCACGTGAATGAATCACGACCATCATCAGCACAAACTAACGAGCAGAACGAGCCTCACTGTGAAGATAATTAACTCTGTTCAGCTCTCAGCTTCATTATTAGAGCGAGACGAAGGAGAAAAAGGTGAGATGAGCTGCTTTTCCACCGTTTACAGGCTTTAACGTCTGTTCGGCGCTGCTGCCATGGTAACGCTGAATGATGGAGCACACGCAGTGGAAAAAGAGCACATGAATTCCGATCTGAGCGTCACATTAAGGTCACATGGCCTGGAATCGGATATGTATCCGATCTAGGGCCACATATGAAAGTGGCTCAGGTCGGATTTGAAAAGATCAGATTTGTGTGTCCACACAGCCTTGAAAACATCAGGTCTGAGTCACATTAGGGCAAAAAATCGGATTTGTGCCACTTCAGCCTGGTAATGTGAACGTAGCTTTATATCAGTGCTGCTAATACAGGTGGATGTAGTTTCAGTTTACAAAATTTTAAAAATTAGTGCATCAATACTGGCAGATATGTACTTTAAAAGTACTGGACATCAGCAGTTCCCACCCTAAATATTTGTTCATAAAAATTAATTTTTGAACAGATTCTGAGGGGATGTCATTTGTGCAGCAACAGCTGACCTACAGTAACTGTGCACTAGTTTAGTGGACCAGTGAGGTTATTTACTGTCACTGTAGCTGCACACTGTACGTGTGTGTGTGTGTGTGTGTGTGTGTGTGTGTGTGTGTGTGTTTGTGTTTTCTCTCGGGCTTCCCCTGCTACTCTCTGGCACAGTCACTGAGCCATGTCCATGGGAACAAGGTCGACATAACGTCCGCCAGGGGACTGTTCATCGCCACGGCAACCCGCTGACCCCATATGCTTAACTCTGTCTGAGCGGACTGTCCGGCTCTCCAACAGACATGCGCACACACACACACACACACACACAGAGAATACACATGCACACATACACAGCACAACATAAAGAACCCTAAAGGAGTGAATCTCTGACCTCACAGAGAATTTATGATCAGGACTCTTAAGGAGTCGAATCAGTTCATCACTGAATCTCTGTCATTACCACAACTCACAATTCAGAATGATTCATTTAATATGATTCAGAATCAGTTTGAAACACACCCTGATGTAACTACAAAATAGTGGAATACAGACAATGAAAACAAAATACATTGTTTTTTTTGGGGTAGTCACCGAGTGACTCACTGACTGACTCATTCATTGAATGACTCACTGACTCACCAACAGACCGACTCACTGATTGACTCACTGACTAACCGACTCAATCTTTAACTTACTGACTCACTCATTGACTTGCCGATTCATTCACCGACTCACTCACTGACTCGCAGACTCACTCGCTAAATCACTGACTGATTGTCTCACTGACTCGTTGACTGACTGACTCAATCTTTTACTTACTGACTCACACATTGACCTGCCGATTCACCAACTCACTCACTGA